GCCACAGGGGACACAGTCACAGCATCAAGTGAACCCCTGTTACACCCCAGGGACCTTGGGGAGRGCGAAAGCAGAACTTGTGATGGGCCTTTTGATGCTGGTCCAGGTGGGAGCATTCCYGGAACAGCATGCAGAATCCCAGAGGAGTCCTGACCTGCAGGGCCCATCCTGAGACTAGGAGGGTCCCCAGGTCCTGGGGGCCAGAGAAGGTGGGGCTGTGGGATGATGGTGCCAGCCACACAGCCAGCGCCTGGCTCCCCCCCTCCACGGGCCTAGGGATGGGCTCCCTGTGCTGTGTTTTGCCAGGTTTCTGTGCTGGGATGAACCCAGAGCCTTGGGTGGGCTAAACCAGCACTCCCCCCACCCCTGCCCCAGCGGCACTCCAGCCCCTCCTAAGTCTGGCCCAGGATGTGGTTTGAACTCAGGGGCACTCCATCCCTGAGCCACATCCCAGCCCTATTTTGTATTTTATTTAGAGACAGAGTCTCACTGAGTTGCTTAGGGCCTTGCTTTTTTTTTTTTTTTTTGCTGAGGTTGGCTTTGAACATGTGATCCTCCTGCCTCGGCCTCCCAAGCTGCTGGGATTACAGGTGCGCACCACCTTCCTAAGTCTTTTTTTTTTTTTTTAAATATTTATTTATTTCTTTAGTTATCGGCAGACAACATCTTTGTTGGTATGTGGTGCTGAGGATCGAACCTGGGGCCGCACGCATGCCAGACGAGCGCGCTACYGCCTGAGCCACATCCCCAGCCCCCTAAGTCTTTTTTAGAGAATGAAGTATTCAAGTTCCTGGTGTCTTGGAGCTTAGACCCTGGAAGAGGGGCTAGAAAATAACAAGCAGAGTTTCAGCAACCCTAATTCATGAAGAAGATAACCTAGTGATCATGCTACAGAGTTTCCATGGAAGGAACGTCACTGGTTTTTTGGTTTTTGATACCAGGGATTGAACCCAGGGTGATTTACCACTGAGCCACATCCCCAGCTCCCCTCCACCCACCTTTTTTTTTTTTTTTTGAGACAGGGTCTCCCTAAATTGCTGAGGGTCTCACTAAGTCTCTGAGGCTAGCCTTGACTTGCGATCCTCCTGCTTCAGCCTCCGGAGCTGCTGGGATCTCAGCTGTACCCCATGGAGCCCTCCGCCACGCTAGCTTTCTGTTGGAGGTTAGCGGACATGACGATTGATTCTCCTCCCCATGAGGAAAGGAGCCAAGGAGGGACATCCAGAGAGGAGGGTGACTCCCTGGTCACAGGTGAACTGGGGACCAACCTGAGGGGCTCAGGGAGACTGAGAGCCTTTTCCACTTACATACGGCCTGGGGTACATGTGGGGAGGGAGGGGAATTTTGAGGTTCGGCTGGGAAGGCTCCTCGTGGCATCAGCTTCAAAAGGAACCAGTGTTTTTCAGGATGTCAGTCCTAGAAACCAATTTCTTTCCTTGGCAGGATGGTGGGGTGCCACCTGGGGAGTGCCTCCTGGGCTCCAGGTCAGGCTGACTCAGAGAGATCAGGTGGTGATTCTTGTTCTAAGGTGGAGGATGGCACTGCCTGTGTACAGTTCTCCCTAATGCTACCCAGTGGTCCAGCCTCTGGTGCCACCCTAGCTTCACAGGCTCCTGGTCAGAACCTGACATGGGGAAGGGGCCTGGGGTGCAGTGATCTGCAGGGAGGGCTTCTGTAGCAGGTGGCCCTCAAGCTGAACTCGTGTGTTGACATTACTGGGTGACGCAGAGCCTGCCAGGTTGGGTGAGCAGGGAAGAAGCCAGGGGCTGCTTGTGGGCCCTGGTGTGGTCCAGGCCAGAGGGCAGACGCCTGGCTCAGGGTGTGGCACACAGGCAGGGTGGCACTAGGGAGGGAGGCATGGCCTAATGGGCTATGGGGGGAACACTCCTGGGTAAGGCCTTGGGTGGGGTGCTGTTGCCAAAAGATCGGTCCTTGTCCCTGGTGCCAATCCAATAACAAGGACAGTTTTGAGAAAAAAAAAAAGGAAAAAGAAGATTTATTGCTTTGCTAGCAAAGGAGAAGTACAGGGAACTCCTGTTCCAGAGGCTGTGATTGTGCCCATCCACAGGAACAGGGGCTTTTAAAGAGGTGATTCAGATAAAATGAGATTAGGGAGAAGAGATCAGGGAGGAGAAGTAGAGGGAAAAGAAGATTTGGAAAAAGAAAAAAACATGTAAGTTTCAAAGCCTCAGGGGATATAGTCAAAGCATCAGGTGAACCCCTTGTTACAAGACCCTGTCTCAAAATTTTAAAAAATTATCTAAAGGGCTGGGGGTTGAAGCTCAGGGGTGTAGGACACGTGGGTCCACTCCCAGTACTCCTCCCCTTTCCAAACTTCTGACGCTAACAATTCCTCAAATTCCTGCTGGAACCACCTTCCTGTCCTAGGAGCTCTCTTGTTGGTGAGCTAAACATACCTGTTGCCCTCATTCTTCGTAAACTTGTATGGAAGTTCACGTTTCAATTTTTTGAAAATTACCCAGTGAAATCCCAGAGATGACTGGGGAGGCAGGAGTATCTCAAGTTTGAGAACAGCCTCTGCAATTGAGCAAGACCCCGTCTCAAAGTAAAATAAAAAGGACTGGGGGGCGTACAGATTGAGTGGAAAAGTAGAGGTTGAGGATTAGCTAGCATGCTCGGGGCCCTGGGTTCAATACCCAGCGCTGCAAAAAAACAAAAATCAAAACAAAAGAGAACCCTGCTCCCTCAGAGGGCTCAGTAACTTCCAAAAGCAAATCTTTCCTGCCATCCTGACTCTCCTGGCCTCTTGGCCCTCTTCAATTGAACTTAAGGCAGAAATCCCCTTGGCTTGTTCCCCCAGTCTGGGCACCTGGCTAGGTTGGTGCCCTCACCACCTGCTCTGTTCTGGATTCTTACCACCTGACCTCCATGCTTRCCCTCAGTTGCAATTTTACCAGGTAGCTCTTGAGGGCAGGGACTCCATCTCCACTGGGGCCAGCCCAGCACTTAGCTCACTGAATAAAGGAGGAATGAACGTGGACACGTGGGGGTGCCATGGCTGACCATGTGGCTACGGCACTGGGAGACACTTTCATTTGGAAAACACAAGTGCTGGGCAAGGAGACCTCTGTTCCTTCCTGCTCTGGTGTCCTCTGGCCTCCATCCAGGGTGGAGAACCCTGTGTTCTGGGGCCTGGAACATGAACTGAGTAAGCTGAAGGGCTTCCAGGAATGATTGCACGGGGTTCCTCCCTGAGCATCAGGCCACTAAGAGGCTGTCTTCTGCAGCCAGGGGAGGGCCTAGCCCAAGAGCCTATCTTCTGGAACTAGGTGTTTCCAGAGGCTGGGGGTATGGAGGCCTGTTCAGAATCATGCATTTGCAGAAGGACCACTTGCGTATGATGAAAGCAATTTACAGGAAGGCCTGGTGTGCGTGTGCAGTGTGAGAAGGACTGCTCCACTGTCTTCTGGAGCAGCCCCTTCCAGGGCTTCCTGACAGGAACACTGCCTGCTTGCTTGTCCTTTCCTGCCTTTCTTTAGCACTGGGGTGAACTCAGGTGCGCTCTTCCACTGAACACTGAAGTACATCCACAACTCCCCTACTCTTTTGAAACAGGATCTTGCTAAGTTGCCTGGGCTGGCCTGGAACTTGTGATCCGCCTGCCTCAGCCTCCCAAGTTGCTGGAATCACAGGTGTGTGCTATCACCAACCCACCTGGCTAGAACTCTGGCTGGTTTTCTTGCCTAACTTCTCTTGGCCTTGATTTTCTGATCTGTAAAATGGGGGCATCAGGTACCTCAGGAATCATCATGAAGAATAAATCAATTAATAAATACCTTTAAAGAACACTGCCCGGCCTATGATAGGGACGGGTTAGCTGTTAGTTTATAAACTGCTATGTGCACACATAGGTGTCCTGCATACACAAAATCTCTCCAATGGCCTCATCATCACAGATAATAGCATACTATGCTCGTCTGCATCTTGCTTCCACTTATAGTTTGGAGGACTTTACACTTGAGCACGTAGATACTTAACACTGCCTATCAGTGCAGGTTCATTACTCTGTGAGATAGATGCACCAGGATTTGTCTAACTTTTCCTAGGTTTAGATGCAACCATTTTGGCTTATGACCTGACATTATGGAATGCAGCTTTATTTCTTCTTATTATTTTTGGCATTGGAGATTAAACCCAAGGAAGGTCTCAAGTATGCAAGGCATCACCGGGTTACATCCGGGTCCTAGTGAAGCCATTCTCATTCTGTCCAGTTCTCAGTTTTCAGATTCATATGCCACATCCCAGGTGGAAACAGGACTGGGCAGCCCCAGGAATGCAAAGACATGGCACATAAGGCAAGATCCGGACGAATGAAACCCCATTCTGCCTGGGCAGGGTCTCTGGTAGCCCCAGCCCGAACCGCTCCTACACGTTGGGCCGGGCCGTCACTCTACTAGCCACCAGGACTCGTCCAGATGGGCCCCGCCTCGTGCAGCCCCGCCCCTTCGCCATCAGCTCCACCGCGCATAGGTCCCAGCTCCGGAAGGCCCCGCCCCTCCGGGCCCCGCCCTTCCCTTAAGTACCCGCCCCTTCAGGCCCCTCCCCGCCGCCCTTTAGACCCTGGAGGCCCGCCCCGCCGCCAGGCCTCGCCCCCTCCAGGCCCCGCCCCCGCGCAGTGCSGCTGCGCCGGCGTCCTAGGCTCTGAGGCCCGGGCTCCGCGGCTCTTTTGTTTCCCGCTGGGGTCGGAGTCGCAGTCTACGCCAGAGCGCGGTCGAGGCGCGAATCGGAGCCAGACCCGCGTCGGAGTCCGAGTGGGTTCGGATTGCCAGCGTCGCGAGGGCGCCGCGGCGGACGCCGAGGGAGTGCGCCGCACGGCCCGCTGCCCGCGGGGCTGGGACCCGGCCCCGGCCTGCCCGATGGGGCGCGTGGCCCCGGCGATGCACCCGCTCCCGGCCCCGCGCCCCCAGCCCCGCGCGCGCGTTCGGGCCGCGGCCCGCGCCTCCGCTTGAGCCCCGCGCGCCCCGGCCCGCCGCCCCGCGGCCCGCTCCCGCGGCCCGCGCTCGCCATGGAGCCCGGCCGCGGCGGCACCGAGACCGTGGGCAGGTTCGAGTTCTCCCGCAAGGACCTGATCGGCCATGGCGCCTTCGCGGTGGTCTTCAAGGGCCGCCACCGCGAGGTGGGTGAGGCGCCCGCTGGGACCACAGCTGGGCCCTAGCTTCGGAAKCCCACCCGAGACCCCAGACCGAACCCCATTCCCTGACCCCAGCTCGGGAAACCCACTCGGAACCCAGTGCCGGACCCCAGCTCCAGAAGCCTACCCAGGACCGCAGTCTGGGACCCGGGCCCTGGAGACCCGGGATCGCAGCCTTAAACCCAGTCGGGACCCCCATCTCCAGAAAGCCAGGCTGGGAACTCTACCTGGGATCCGAGTTCCCAGCCAAGAGCCCTACTCAGGCTTCCTCAGAGACCCCCTACTCTACAATCTCATGCTAGTCACCCTGGGGCATCTTTGTGTCCCTAGCCTGGGGGCAACCCTTAGGGTGGCTGTAGCTCTGAAAGTCCCTGCTTGGTTTTCAGAAGCACGACCTGGAGGTCGCAGTCAAGTGCATTAACAAGAAGAATCTGGCCAAGTCCCAGACACTGCTGGGGAAGGAAATAAAAATACTCAAGGTGAGCTAGTGCCTTGAAGAAGGAGGAGGGTGGGCTGGCTCTCGCCCACTCCTGAGAAACTTGGATTTCCSTCCTAGGAACTGAAGCACGAGAACATTGTGGCCTTGTACGACTTCCAGGTAAGGCCTCTGGCCCATGTGGGGGTGGGGGAAGGGGTGATGCTACCCTCCCAGGCCCTGGGCTGGAGGTCTGGTGGGTAGTGGATGGTCCAGGACAGCATCTTAGAGTGGGTGGAGGGAGCTGGGAATTGGAGATAGGGTGTCTGGTCTGCACAGCTCTGAGGCTTCATCTGACCCTGGAGACCYCATCTCTTGCCCAGTTGGGCCTAGCTTCCTTTGGGTGGAGAACCTCTAGCTAGTCTGGCTGCCTGAGGAGACCACCAGGGCTGGGGTGTCCTGACCATGGGGATCACTCCTCTCACTGTTGCCCCTCTGGTCTGACCCAGTGGCCCTATCTGAGTCTGGTGACCCAGGCAGGCCCACCTGTCTGGCTAGCTGGGTGTTTGTTGACATTGTCCGGTGGCCTCCCATTGGCTGGTCTCTCCCTGCGTCAGAGGCCCAGAGGGGGAGGGGCTGCAGGAGATTCCTTCTTGCTGGCAGTTGGGGCTGAGCCTGCTGGACTAGAGAAGCCAGAGGCCAAGTCAGGCCTAGCTGGCCCCCTGCTGACTAGCCAGTTTCCCATGCTGTCCCCCAGGACCCTGTGCCCCATGGTTGCATGGTTTGGGGTTCCTGGATACCTGGCTTGGGATCCAGGACCTAGGTGTGGGTCTGCCAGGCGAAGTGCTGACTAATGACTTTAAAACCTGTTTACTGAGGCCAGGGACCAGCCCTGACTGAGGGAAGTTCCCGGGAGGCGGTGATGTTTTGGTGGCCTCCTCCCTCCTCCTCCCTCCTCCTCCCTCCTGCTGTCAGCTTTGCTGTGGCCTTGGGGGCTGTGACACATTGTGATGTGTGGGCAGGGCCCAGGTCCAGGGTGGCAGGAGTACCTGGAAAGCCAAAGGAGACACTGTGTTCTTGGTCCAGGAGGCTCCCCCCCCCCTTGTTTTCCTTTATTTCTCCTCTCCCCAGTCCAGCCCCTTTTTCTTCGTTGTCTCCCTTTCTCCATCTCTCCTCTGGCCATGTTCTTCAGCCTGTCCTCAGGGCCACACTGCCAGGGTACTCTTCAACCCATGCATTTGTGAAAGACCCATGGTAGAGTCGATGGCCAGTCCCAAAAAAGAACAGATCCCTCTGGCCCACACAACTCTGCTCCCTGCCAGGCCCCCGCATTCCTGTGCCTGGGTGTTTCCAGTCCCATTGGGACTGGGCGGACTTGGGTTGGGCTGCAGGTGACCATCTATAACCTCTGGAGTGCCCAGGGCTGGTGGTATCCTCCAACCCTGCCCTGGTCCCTGTTCTGTTCCAGTTGGGCCACACACACCTGATTGTGGGCATATGCCACTTCCTCCAGGGTTGGCAATACTGTGGCTTCCTCTGCCCTGAGGAAGTGCTGAAAAATGCCAGCCGTAGCCTTTCCTGTGCTGGGACTCCACCCTCTCTGGCCTCACAGTACAGGCTGTCCCCTGCATCCATAAGATGTTTGAAACAGACACCAGGACCAGGAGAAATGATCTTGATTTTACAAATCTTTTTTTTTTTTTTTTTCCTGACCTGGATTGGACATAGGGCCTCTTGCATGTTAGGCAAGCCCTCTACCACTGAGCCATACCCCTAGCTTTTAAAAATAGGTAGTAACTGACCTGTGGTAGCACAGGCCTGAAATCCCAAGTTCAAGGCCATTTTGGCAACTTTGCAAGGCCCTGTGTCAAAAAAGATTGGGATGTAGCTTAGTGGTAAAGTGTCCCTGGGTTCAATCCCCTGTACTGCAARGAGGAAAAAAGTAATGATTTGGCTTTTAAAGTCCTAAAACACTATGAATGAAAATGTGGTGAGAGGTCATTCTCCCAACTCTGTCCAGATGGATTTCCACTGTCTGCTCTGAGTGCATGGTTATTTCTGGGCCTCTGTAAGTAGATGTGATTCTTCCACAGCACAACATGATCCTACCCCTCACTTTTTTTTTTTTTTTAATTTTAACATCTGTACTGGAGATGGCTGGAAGTCTCTGTGACTTATTATGCACACTGTTCTTAGTCCATATCAGAAGAATGGTGTCTTGGCCTTGCTAGAGTGACCACCTGTACCCTCAGTGGTGTGGAGCCAGACTGCAGCAGATGGGCAGGCTCCAGCCTGGCTCTTCCTGGCATGGGGCTGAATCCAAGGGCAGGTGTCCTAACCTGGACTGTCAATTTTGTGAGCTCAGGGTGTTAGCTGCGGGCCTGTGCAGCCATGGTACGTGACCTGATGTTCCATAACTGGTTTCACTAGCCTCCTGCTGATGGATGCATGGCTATTCTGGGCTTCCGGTGCATGAAAATGTGGTCGCTACTGTCCTTGAACTTTTGCTGCTTGTAGATCTGTGGGACAAATTCCTAGAAGTAGAATTCCTGGCAAGAGGCTTGTGTGTTTTTAGTTTGGGTAATTGGTGCCAAGTTGCCCTCCAGAGAGGCAATACCAGTGGTCATTCAGCAGCCTGACTCCTGCATCCTTGCCTGGAGTCGGCTCCCAGTCGGCTTGGCTGGGTAGAGCTGGACATGGTGTCTCCCTGGTTCTCTTCCTGAGCTGGGAGTGTGCATGCTGGGAAGAGATCCCCCTGCAGAGGTCTGCAGCACACTCTTGATCCTTTCCTTCCCAGGCTGGCTTGCACTGGGGTTGGTGGTGTGGACCCCATGCTCCCTTTTCTGGGTCTCTTGTCTGCACCAGGTGCCTACCTGAGACCTTGGTCAGATAGCCTCATGGTGTCTGTTGTTATGTGCAGTAGAAAGGTAGTGACAGCCCATGGCGAGCGCTTGGAACAGTGCCTGCTGAATAGTAAGTGCTGTGTGAACTTTACTGTTGATCTGTAGGAGCTCTTTATGTATTAAGAAAACTAGTCTTTTTGTAATAGGTTGCAAATAGTTCTCCCAGTTTATCTACTATTTTTTTTTTTTCTGTGTTAGGCAAGCCCTCTACCCCTGAACCAGTCCCCCAACTCTAGTTTTTTTTTTTTTTTTGTCTATAAGGTTATTTTTGTTTTTGGTATGTTGGTGGGGTTGTTTTCTTTGTTCTTTTCTAGAAATATTTTTTAGTTGTAGATGGACACAATACCTTTGTTTTTATGTGGTGCTGAAGATCAAACTCCATGCCTCACATGTGCTAGGCAAGTGCTTTACCCCTGAGCTGCACTCCCAGCCCCTGTGGGGTTCTTTGTGTGTGGTGCTAGGGATGGAACCCACCTTCTAGGCAAGTACTGTACCCCTAGTGCCCTGCTCAGGGGTGATTTTTGGTTTGTTTTGCTATACAAAATGGTAGTATCAGCAGTTGAGGAGGCTGAGGCTGAGGGATTGAAAATTCAGTGCCAGCCTCAGCAACTTAGCAAAGCGCTAAGCACCTTAGCAAGACCCAGCTTCAAAATAAAAAATTATAAAGGGCTGTGATGTGCTCAGTGGTTAAGTGCCCTTGGGTTCAATCCTTGATACAAAAAAAAGAAAAAAGGTAGCATCAGGCCTGGGAGGTGTGTAGCTTAAATCTTGCTGTTCCCTTTCTTTTTTGTGGTGGACTTGGAGACAGCCCAGGGCCTGTGTGTACTAAGTGACCACTGTGATACCGAGCTACCCTCGGTGCCGTGTTCTTGCCGTGTTCTTGTCTGAGCACCTGGCACCTGTGCAGAGGGTCGGAGTGGGCTTGTTCCCCTCCCATTTCTTGTGCAGTGACTGGCCTTGCCCGTGTTTCAGGGGAGTCAGGGTGTGGAACTGCAGACACAGGCTGGCACTTGCCAGTGTGCTCTGGAGAGGGTGGCAGCATGGAATTGCTGATGGTGACCTCCTGAGGCCAGCACGCTGTCTGTCCAGTTCTCCACAGCCAGACGCCTTGCTGGGTTGCCCAGTTGTGACTCACTGAGCCCTGCGGACAGACCCCGCTTCCTGATGCACCTGCCAGCTGGGTGTGTCAGGAGCACCTGCAGCAGCAGTGGGAAGGCTTGGCTCTGCCCCCTTCCCTGAGAGAATCCTTGTAGGGGCAGGGTACAGCAGCAGGGGCCCTGCTCCAGGCAGGCCTGTGCATGGGTCCCAGGTTCCAGGCAGTTCTGCAGACTGCCTGTTTTTTTTTTTTCTTAAGTGTGTGTGTGTGTGTGTATGTTTTAGTTGTAGGTGGACACAATATCTTTATTTTATTTATTTGTACATGGTGCTGAGGATCGAACCCAGAGCCTCACCCATGCTAGGCGAGCGCTCTACCACTGAGCCACAACCTCAGCCCTCCAGACTGCCTGTTTTATCAGTATTTTTACATTAGGCAGTAACTTGTCAACTCTACCAAAGGTTGAGAGGCAGCTGTCACATGAGACCTGAAAACCGAGGCATCACGCTTAGGAGCCACAGGACTGGCTTTCCACTTTTTAAAAGTTTGTTTCTGTTTGGCACCAGGAATTGAACGGGGTACTTAACCACTGGGCCACATCCAGGTGTCTTTCTGTTTTGGTGTGGAGCTAGACTTCAGCAGATGGACTTCCTGGCATGGGGCTGAGTCCGAGGGCAGGCCGTAGTTAGGACTAACCTGGGCTGTCAAGTCTGAGCTTGACAGCCCAGTTGGGGTCTGAGTTGCTGAGGCTGGCCTTGAACTTGTGATCCTCCTGCCACTCGGATTATAGGCATGCGTCACTGTGTCCAGCTGAGCCTGGCTGTTGACACCTACCCATGCTGGACCTTGAGCTAGAAGTGGGATTCCATCCTTCTGTCACTGGGTCAGGAGTCTCCTTTTCATGGCTGTGGTGTCCCATAATGGGACTGTTCTGCCGTGTGTGTGTGTGTGTGTGTGTGTGTGTGTGTGTGTGTGTGTGTCCCTGAATGGTGGAGTCTCTGCTCAGCGGCAGAAAGAATCCCTCTGATAGGTTTCAGTGGTGTGCACGGATCAGGGCTGCTGGGTCTCAGGGAGGGGTATGCAATTTGTCTTTCTGAGGGACCTTGCTAACCCTGGCAACATCCTCTGCATTTCTGCAGGGGGTCCTGCCCTTAGGGGTCAGGACACCCAGTTTGCCACAGCCAGTGAGCAGCCCTGGGTTCAGGGGCCTGCCTGAAGGTCCACATTAAGCCGCAGAGAGGCCAAACGTGGGTCAGGGAGCAACGTTGGGTAGTTGCAGGAGGCTCCCAGGAATGTGAGTGGCCTTCCTCCTTGGGGTGGAACCAGGCATCTCTTCCCTTTTGGGAGCTATCCAGAAAACGCAGCCTGGGGAGGTGGAGAGGATGTTTCCGGGCCATGGCTGTGGCTTTGCTGCCTTCTGGAGCTCAGGAGCCGCCCCAAAGGAGTTAAGTAGGTCAGCCCTGCCCGCCACCCACCAGACCAGCCCAGGATCACCAGCCCAAGATCACCAGACCAGAGTGGGGCTGCTGAGGGTGGGGAGCTGGGATCCTATTAAGCAAAGCACCTTAGTGCCCCAGGGGCGGGGCTGCCTCCTACGTGCCTGGACTCCCGTATAGCTGCCCAGGACACTGCCTCTGAAGCTAGCTTTGCCTCCTGTAGAGGGCCAGCCCGCTGGAGCAGGTTGGTCCCCAGGGCCCTTGCTGGAGTTGTACCTGTCAAAGGCTTTGTTCTGTCACCTGGTTGACTTGCTAAAGAGGTGTTAATCGTCTTTCATGGACAGCCCATCAGCGGTTTGTTTTGCCCTGAGGTCAGCTGGGACTGGGCTCAGCTCCCAATTTCTCTGCCTTGTTTCTCCCTTAAACTGATGTAACTGCCTGCTGGGCTAGGGTGATAACGCAGGGAGAGCCATGAGAGCACCTGAGGGWATGTCCGCCTGCAGCCTGTGTGGGGGATGTGATTGGCTCCCCAGACCTGCCCTGAGAGTGAGATGGGGCCAGTGGCTCCCTCTGCCCTGCAGTCTCTGGCCTTGTGTGTTGGGGCATCACTGGCCCTCCAGGTGTCCATGGGACTGGCTGGGTGCCAAGGCCTGCCTGGCCCCAGCTCCCTAGGGAATTTGTGAAAACCAAGTCTTGCTAAGAGGCTTTGGAGGTGGAACCTGATGCCTGTTCTGGGTGGGCCCAGGGCTTGGCCGGAACAGATCATCTGTGGTGACCAGGTTGTGATATGGCTTCTGCCCCGCCCCCTGCAGGGCCCCAGAGAGAGCCACTCCCCTCAGGGAGGGTCCCCAGTGGATGTGGGTGGGGCTTGGGGCCAGGCCTGGGCATGCYGCTTCTGAGACAGTCTCCCACCCGGGCTCCTGGAGGCCCTGCTGGCTTTCTGGTTTGGTCCCTGTTCTTGTCCTTGCCAGGGGTCGAGGTGATGTGGGAGGGCTGCCCCTGGTGGGCATGCAGTTCCAGATTGCTACTGGTTTGGTGTTGGCWCTGAGCAAGGTTGAGGATGGACAGTGGCACCAGCTGACTTTGGCTGGTCCTGCCACTTGGTTTCCTGGGGAGTCTCCTAACTTACTGTGGCCTCAGTCAGCATCCCTGTTGGAGATCAGGCAGGCCTGGAGTCGGAGTGGGCACTGGGGGGCCAGAGTACAGGCCCTGTGACTGTGCACAGGTCCCAGGCACCTGTGTAGATCTGTGTCTTAGCAGAGGGGTGGGTGGAGGGCCTGAGCTGGTTTCCTGGAGCCTGAGTTCTGTGTGGCTTGGTGGAACAACCCAAGCCTGCCTGGGTCTTGGGCCTGGAAGCACCTCTGGGAGTGGCTAGGCAGGGGCTAGGCCAGAGTGGGTGGGAAGGGGCATGGAGAGGAGACTGGGGTGCTGGTATCACATAGCCTGTGGCTGCTTGTGAATTCCAGGGACAGCATTAAGGTTTCAGGGAGCCAGCACAGCAGGTGGGTAGCTGCAGGAGGCTCCCTGGGGATGTGAGTGGCCTTCCTCCTTGGGGTGGTGGCTAGAAGGGTATCTGGGAGGGTAGGCCTTTCAGCTTGCCATCTGTGAACCCTCAGGGGCCTACAGGCTTGGGAGCTGCAGTCCCTAGCATTGCAGAGGCCGTTGGGTAAAGATAGGACTGGGGGAGGGCCCTGGCCAGAGTGGGCAGCAGATGGTGTAGACCAGGGGCCAAAGCCTCCTGCTGTGTGGGCATACAAGGGATCTTTTGGCATCAGGGAGCCCTGTCTTTCTGGAGAGGCAGGAGACTGCTGTTGTGTCTCATAGATCCCCCAGTGGGAGAGAGGCAGTAGGACTTCTGTCCCTGCAATCCTGGGTGAGCAGCTTGGGGATATGGTCTACCTCTGCATATGTCCCCACCTGCTTCTGTCCCCGTCACTGTCCCTGCTTGCTGAGTGAGTTTGGACTCTGCTGGGTCAAATCCTAAGGAGTGCAGCTAAAGATTGAGAGAAGGCCTGCCTCCTACCTGGCTACCCTCTGGTAGTGTCTCCAGGATAAGAGGCTCCGTAGCCCTGGCCGCTGGCTGGGATGTGGAAGCTCCCTGGATAGGGCCTCCCTGGCGGTGGTAAGAAGCAGGGGTGTGTGCTGCTGCCGCTGCACTATTTCTGGGTCTTTAACTCCGTTACCTTTTGCCCTGATCCTCTCCTGGCCCTGACTTTTGTTGGGTGGTTAGAACTGTGGGCTCTCTCTCTGTCCTGTTCCTATCTGTCCTCTATCCTGTTCCTTGTCCCTCTGGCTTAATGGTCCCTGACTGTWCCTCCATCCTGTCACTGTCCCACTGTCCTGTCTCTTGTTTCTCTAGCCCTGTTCCTGTCGTGCTGCAGTTGGGGACTCTGAACCCACCCACCTGTGCTCTCTCCCCCAGGTGGCCTAGGAAGATCCGGTGGGAGGCAGGCCACTGCCGGGGCTTCCTGTCTCTTCCTTGGGCTGGGGCAGGTGAGCTCGGGCAGGTGAGCTCAGGCAGGACTCGGGGAGCAGAGTGCACAGGCCTGCATGGACAGTCTCCCCTTGTCCTGTGCCCCTTATGAGTCCTCCTTACCGGGCCACACCCTGTGTGGAGCCTGGCATGCGAGGCGGGACTTGACCACACTGTGTGCCGCGGCTGCCTTGAGCACTCCCCACCCCGAAGCTCTGGGGCTTGGTAGGGTGTTGTTCACAGGGACTGTGTTTGCATCCAGGGTGTCTCTCAGCAGCTTTATGTCCATCCCTAGAAGTGTACATGTGCAGGCCTGGTCCTCCTAAGGGGTCAGTTGGCTGAGCAGGTGTCAGGGATACTTGGTCCTGCCAAATGGGGACAGGGCATGTCTAAGGACATGCTTGGGGTCTGGGGTTGACAGGTGGCAGCTGGCTGCTGGGGCTGGTCAGTGTGGCCTGCGGCTAGTGTGTGTTCAGTCTTGGTGGGCTTCTGAAAGCACTCTGTTATCCCCCTGGTGGTGGATGCTAGCCCCCACTGTGGGAACTTTGGGGCTCACAAGTGCACCCTCTTTGTCTCCCACTTGAAGTTGGAGGCACTGCACGTCTGGAGTTGCGGTGGAGCAGGGTATAGATTCTTCCAAGTGCCCTGGAGTGGGGTCTTTGTGCATCCGGCCACAGGCTGCAGAATGGAGAAGAGGCTGGTGGTGACAGGACTTGCTCCACTGTCCCCAAGGCCAGCTCTGCTCTGTGCTTGTGAAGGGAGGGGGAGATCTTGCTCTTCTCTTGGCAGGGCGCCCTGCTTCAGGGAAGGAGTGCCACCTGCACAGTTTCAGGGCAGTTAAGATCAAGTCCGCCTGGCTCTGCTGGCCCCTGGCGCTGGTGCTTGTCAAAGAACTGGGGTGAGGCATGAGCGAGTCATGGGGCAGCACTGCTTCCGGGCAGGCACCTGGTTCCCACTGGTCATCAGGCGCACCAGGTGGCTGCTGCAGTGGGCCTTTACATGTCTAGGGTTTTGTGCCACTGGACCTGGATGTAGGTCAGTGTGAGCTGAGGGTCAGCTGGAAACTAGCCCTGCTGGGCAGTGGGCAGATGGCTCAGGATGCCTCTGCTGAAGGGTTGGCCTGGGCAGTGGCCCAAGCCCCGTCAGTCAGGGTCTGTCAGCTCTGTTCCTTCTACCTGCCTACTCAGCCCAGCAGCAACAACCCATGATCTGTTGTCATCCTTGTTTCCAGAGCCTGAGGGTCAAGGCCAACCTGCACCCAGGCCTTGGCCCTCCTTACCTAGAGGCTCCTGTTGGCCAGGATTTACCATTCATGCTTAACCCTCTCAGACTCAGGGACAGGGCCCTTCCCTTGATAGAGGCCCTTGGTCTTGGGTCCACTCCCTCCCTGGGTCCCTCCTGTTTTCCATTGCTCCTGTCACTCAAGCCCATGTTCAAGCCATAGAACACAGCAAACACACTTTTCAGTGTCCCTGGTCACAGGCATCCTGTCCTGACCCTGCGGAGTGGCCCAGGCCTGGCCATGCCCACTCTCACTGAAGCCCCATGGACATTTGGAGCTTGAGGGTGCCCATGGTCCCCTGCCGCAGTCTGGCTGGGCACAAATCACGAGCCACTGAAGCAGGAACAAACTTTATTTTTGAACTGCAAGAAAACACTTCACCCACGCTCAGGGGGAATTCTCCCGAACACCATGCGGCTCGTCCAGGAACCCGCAGCTGGAAAAATCTCTCCCGGAAATCCCTCCTCCTGCACTTCCCCAACCAATGGGAACTCTCGGGGAATCCCCAGGAATCCCCACGAGAACTCGAAAGTAGCGCGAGAACTCAAAAGTAGCAGCCRAGGAGGATAGTGGTGCCTCGCCTGTCAATCAATACTGTTGGCAAAATGCCAGGAGCCATACAGACTTGCCCATGGCTCTCAGCAGTCCCCAAAGCTGTGCCCCAGTGGGAGCWGGTGGCACTTTTCCCGCCTCTCATAGCATTCTCTCTGTCTCACAGGAGATGGCTAATTCCGTCTACCTGGTCATGGAGGTGAGTCCCTGTGGGGCCAGGTCAAGCTTGGAGTGAGGCAGTCCCTTGTCACCAGGGGCAGAGGCTCCATGCATTGGTGGGCCGATGCCCACAGCACTGGGAGCCACGGAGGGAGGGGCGTGGTGGCCCAGGGTTTTGGAACACCTGCCATGGGAGCGGGTGTGGGCTGGGGGCCTGGGCAGGCTGGAGGGGCCTGGCTGTGCCTGACGTGTGGCACTGGTCTCTTGCAGTACTGTAATGGTGGGGACCTGGCTGACTACCTGCACAGTGAGTAAACGCATCACAACAGGGCAGTGCTAATAGCCCAGAGTTGGCTCAGCAGGAACTGCCCCTGGGGCAGATGGGAGGGGACCCTGCCACTTCAGACCACTAGAATTCCATCCTTCGCCTGTCTACTCCTTCACAGTCTGTCGAGTGCTTCCCATGTGCTGGGCAGAGGCCTTGGCCAGGGTCTTCAGAGGGCTGTGTTTTCAAAGCAGAGGCACTTAGGGAGTGGGGGCAGTTGTGGGCAAGACCAGACCAGGGGGTGGAGAGGGATGGGCTGGGGGCACCATGGGGGCCTTGTTGTGGGGCCTGCASGTAGAAGGGTGCCTGCAGCCTTGGTCATGCGACATGGCGGGAACAGCAGCTCTTGGCTTGACTGAGGCTGAGTTCAGGGGCCGTGTGGAGATGGTGGGGCAGGAGGGCCCCAGAGCATTGGCAGGACACTGGAGTGCTGCCTAGGACTCCTTACAGCCCTCCCAGGTGTTTCCCAGAGGCTGCCCTGTGTGTAGGAGGTGGGGAGGACACTCCCTCCTAGGAGTGTTGACACCTGTCAGTCCACTGGGCAGCTCTGACAGAAACSTTCAGACTGGGTGATTCATGAGCAGCAGGGTCACCAGCTCACAGCTGCAGAGGCTTCATGGGCTTCAGCCATTTGGCCCTCCTACATGGTGGCTTCTTGCTAAGGCCTCACATGGAAGAAGGGACAGATGGGCTCCCTCAGGCCTCTCATGAGGGCAGGACTCCCCATGGCCTGGCCATAGCCCTTCCCCATAATCACTGTGAGGGAAGGATTTCCATGTGTAGATTTTGAAGGACTCTGGCTGGGGCCGAAGCTGGCAGAGCATACTCCAGGTGGGGAGGGCCTGTCTTGATGTGACTCTGTGCCATCTGTTGGATGGGAAAAGGTGCCCTATGAGTGAGGGTCAGGCACTGAAGCCAGTGGTCCTGGCCCTTGGGCCACTGGCAGGAGTATAGCAGGCATCAGCTACCACGTGGCTGTGCTGTGCTATGCTGTCTGCCTAGTGTTTGCTCTTGTCCCCATGGCTGCCACTCTGCTCCTGGGCCCTGACCTTTAGTGATTAGGCAGTCTTTGGCCAGCTTCCAGGCTCCGCAGGTGTCAGGTTAGCTCCAGGCCAGCCCCAGGCCAGCTTCTGGTGCCACCTGCCTGCAAGGGTAGTTCTGTGACCTGTGCGTGAGTGTGGGCTCCCTGGCTTGCCTGCCTGTGTGTGGTGACCGGCCGGTGAGCCTGCCCCTGAGGTGAATGTGTGGTTGGTCCTTGGGGCGGGGGGTCTCCAGGTACGTGTGTTTGCAGGGGCTGTGTGGGGTGTTTGTGTCTCCCTGGTACTGTGTCTGTCTGCAGTGTGCATGTTTGGATTCTGCCCTGTCCTGGCTGGTTGTCCCTATGGTCTCCTTCCTTGGGTGCCAGTGACCACCACCTGCTTCTGCTCCCTCCCAGGATTGGCTGCCCTGCTTGCATCACCACACCTGGTCCTAAGATGCCTGGTGGCCCAGTTGGGACCACTGGAGCTACCCTGGACACGGGGACCTCCCCACTGGCCCTGTGTCTGCTGCTGGCAGGGGCCAGGGCCTCCTGGGAGCCTGGGCAGGGTCTCAGCTCCGCCTCAAGGTTACCTGCCCAGTACTTAGTTCTTGGAGGTCACGGTGGGCCAGGACCCTGGGGGCTCATCCTAGAACCCCTTGCCATGTAGGCTGCTTGTCTGGGGGTGAGAAAGATATTAAAAGGCAGAGAGAGTGAAACATAAGCTGAGAAAGACCAGCAGCCTGTTGCAGGCACTGAGGGCTGGCAGTGTTTGGTGTGAAGGAGGAGACGTGAGGTGGCCTGGGGACGAGGCTCCTGCTAAGGGTCAGGTAGGCTGCAGCTGAGTAGGAAGTTGCCTCTCCAGGCAGTAGGCACAGTCCAGACAGTCTGCCTGTCCTCCTGGGCTCAGCCCCATGCACCCTGGGAATGTTTTGGGCAGCGGTGGCTGGTGTCCCCTGAGCGCACATCTCCTCGCAGCCATGCGGACCCTGAGCGAAGACACCATCAGGCTCTTCCTGCAGCAGATTGCAGGTGCCATGCGGCTGCTGCACAGCAAGGGCATCATCCACCGTGACCTCAAGCCCCAGAACATCCTGCTGTCCAACCCTGGGGGACGCCGTGCGAACCCCAATCACATCCGCGTCAAGATCGGTGAGGCCTGAGCTGTAATCCCCGCTGCTCAGGAGGCAGAGGCAAGAGGGTTGCAAGTTCAAGGCCAGCCTGGGCACCTTTGTCAGACTCTGTCTCAAAAATAGAGGGCTGGGGATGCAGTTCAGTTGTCAACTGTGTTCAACCCCCATCACATCCCCCAAAAAAGATTAGTGAGGCCTACTGAAGGTGACCCCTGGCAGTGGCCAGCCCAAGTAAAGCTTCCTGATGTCTCTCCCGTACAGCTGACTTTGGGTTCGCCCGGTATCTCCAAAGCAACATGATGGCAGCCACGCTCTGCGGCTCTCCCATGTACATGGTGCGTGGCCTCCTCCCTGTTGCATCTCCCAAGCAGGGCCTGGTGGGGATGGCCCCATCACCCAAAGCTCTTGAGGGTGCTAGCCCCTGGGTTCTGACCTGTGTGTCCAGAGCTGACCTTGTAGGCACTGGGCTGCAGCTAGTGTGCTGGTGCCTTTCCGCCAAGTCAGCTAGGGTTGGCTGGTCCTGAGCCAGTGCCTGTGTGGCATCTGCTCCCAGTCACTGCGCTCCAGTGCCTGTCCTGTGCCCGAGCGCTGGCCTGTTCCCACAGGCCCCTGAAGTCATCATGTCCCAGCACTATGATGGGAAGGCAGACCTGTGGAGCATCGGCACCATCGTGTACCAGTGCCTGACGGGCAAGGCTCCTTTCCAGGTGAGCTTGCCTGTCACGCTGCAGGAGGAGGAGGCGGGGAATGAGTATGGGTCGTGGGCGGCAGTACTGCGCTCCAGGTGACCGCTCCCGCCTGTGGTCCCTGGCTCATTAAAATGCTATACTTCCTTTGTGGTAGTTGAGCCCTGCTTGGCCAGGGTCAGCAGGGAAGCAGTGTGTGTGACACAGGCACGGGAGCTGGCTTGTGATCTTGGCCACAGGCCAGCCAGGGAGGGAACCAGGCCACAGCAGGAAGCGGGGCTGTGCGGGAGCAGAGTCTCATGCCGTTGTCCCACCAGGCCAGCAGCCCTCAGGACCTGCGCCTGTTCTACGAGAAGAACAAGACTCTTGTGCCCGTGTAAGTGCCTCCTGCCCCTTGGTTGTTCTGCCCAGTGCCCCACCAGCCCCATTAGCCTGTTTTTTCTTGCCCACCCAGCATCCCCCGGGAGACGTCGGCACCCCTGCGGCAGCTGCTCCTGGCTCTGCTGCAGCGCAACCACAAAGACCGCATGGACTTCGGTGAGTGCACACAGCTTGCCTCCTAATGGCCTGGGGCAGCGTCAAACCCCTGACTCCTTCCCCAACACTCCCATGCTCCTGGGGCACTGTCCCCTCAGCAGTTCTGCTTGGGTGGCAGGTACTGCTTCTGGCTTCCTTTTCCAGCTGATGGGTGGAGTCTGGGCACCTGGGCTCCTATGAGCCTCACTGTGGCACCTCTAATCTCTGGGAGTGGCATGCATGGGTCCCCGGGTACCTGAGCTCCTTCCCTGGCAGCAAGGCTGGCAGACCTGGTTCTGCCTTGGGAAGCCCCATCCAGGAGATGGTGAAACACCCCAGGCTCACAGGGGGCCATGCTGTGAGCTAGAGTCCCACCTCTGCCCAGGGGTCTGGGGGCCTGCCTGACCCCACAGCTTGAGTGAGAAGCACTCCTGAGGCCTTGTTCTTCCTCTCCAGAGGAATTTTTTCGTCACCCTTTCTTGGACGCCAGTGCCTCCATTAAGAAGTGTAAGTCCCTATGGGTCCTAGGGCCCCAGGAGGGGCCTTGATGTCCTCCCTAGGTTGGGTTAGGTGTCTTATGCTGGGCTGGGGAGTGAGAGCTTAGGGTATGGGCCTTGTGCTAGGCCCTCTCAGGAGGGTGGGGGTGCCCATGGGTCCTTAGCCCTGCTGCAGCCTGGGCCCCAGGACTGGGTGGCAGGTGGCCATGGTGCAGTGGGGGTAAAGGTGGGTCACCTGCTCACTCCAGCTGCTGTCAGAGTGAGGCCTGGTGGGGGGTTTCTGAGTGCTGGTGCAGGGCACAGAGTGTGTGGCTCGAGGCCATGCTCACCCTGCCCCCCACTGGTCAGAGGTCAGGGAGCTGTTCCACCGAGCTGTGTTGGAGACTGTCCAGACCTGGGCTGGCTGGCTTGAGTGGCCTCAGACAGCCCCTGTCCTCAGAATGTTGGTAGACTGACTGGTACTTTTCCCCAGCCCCGCCGGTGCCTGTGCCCTCRTACCCGAGCTCAGGGTCTGGCAGCAGCTCCAGCAGTAGCTCCACTTCTCATCTTGCCTCCCCTCCGGTAAGTGGACCTGCTCCAGCCCTATTGCTGGTCCTGCCTGGACTGGTACTTTGAGCCACAGGAGTGCAGGAGCACACTCTGCTCCAGAGGGAAGGCTGGGAGACAGGGTGCACCACTGAACAGGACACAGGCTGCATACCAGCCGCTTGGTGCAGGAGTGGGCAGGGGCACGCAGCCTCGGCTTCTTTTGAGAAGTACTAGGGAGTGGTGGCCCTCCTAGGGGTYGCTCCATGACGCTGCCAGGTAGAGCCCTGCCCATCCTCTGAGCGCCTGCCTCTAGGAGGGGTGTTCGCAGTGGGTGGTGATGAGCTGGTGTGTGGGTTCTGGCCTCTGTCCAGTGTGCAGTGAGGCGACTGTGCCTGTGCCCTTGGCTCCAAATGTGAGCACAGTGGAGCTGCCCTGGGCAGAGCTCTAGGCCTTGTATGTCCTGGCTGGCGCCCAGCAGAGCGTCCCCACCAGACGCCTGGCGCTCTCTGCTGTAGAAGCAGAACAGTGAAGTTCAGGGGGCTGGGGGCAAGTGCCTGCCTGAGGGAGCTGGGAGCCAGGCCCCTGCCACCTGGCTAGGGTGCTGTGGCCAGCTCTGGGGGCAACGTGACTACGAGACCAGGCCTCTGTGTCTAGGAATTCAAGGAGCAAGTATGTTGGGCACAGTGGTACTGCATGTCTGAGCACCCTAGCAAGACCCCCCATCTCACAATAAACAACAAAGGCATGGGGGATGGCTCAGTGGTGGGCCTTCTGGTGTAGTTCCTGGTAACTCCTGCTAACCCACACAGCAGGYGCAGGGGCGGAGAGGGCAAGAACGGCCAGGCCTGTTGCTTGCACCCTTGGCCCTGGGTTTTGCTGATGCGTGGGCCCAGAAGAGGTGCAGTTTGGTCCTCAGAGTCTGGGGCCCGGACCTGGCTCAGCCTYCTCTGTTCGCCAGTCCCTAGGGGAGATGCCCCACATGCAGAAGACGCTCACCTCCCCAGCGGACACAGCCGGCTTCCTGCACGGCTCCCGGGACTCTGCTGGCAGCAGCAAGGACTCCTGTGACACAGATGACTTTGTCATGGTCCCAGCTCAGTTTCCAGGTCAGGAGGCCTGCAGGCAGAAAGGGATTGGTAGGCAGAGCTCAGTGGCCCTGTCTGTGGGATGTGCGAGTGAGTCTGTGTGGGGTCTCCCCTGGGCAGTCAGGAGGTTGCTTCCGGCATGTCCGTGAGTCTGTCTCTGCTGAAGGGGACCTGGAGCATAGGTGGCGCCACCTATTGGTCAGCCGGCATCAGAGGCCCAAGACTCCAGGCTCTGGCCCCCCAGGCAGAGTCTGCTTCTGCTGCCCTGGGCCAGGCCTTCTGCAGGCAAGTGGCAGCCCTCATCTCCAGGCTGCCCTGCAGTCCTCCCGGCATCCYCTACAGTGTGTTTGGCACTCCCTGCTGCCCACACCAGATTGGAAGCTGCCCTTAGCGGTTGGGACTGCCTGCTGGGGATGTGCAATTTACCACTGGATCCTGTGCTCCCCCTCCTTGTTCTGGGGACCTGGCTGGCCCTGGTGTTGGCCAGGAGCAGCCTGACTCAGCCCTGGCCCTTGGCATGTCCAATCAGCTCTGGGTTGGCAGGGGATTGGCAAGGCTGGCCCCTCACCAGGGTCAGGGATCACCATCCTCACCATCCATCCCAGAGAAGTCCAGTCTGGGAAGAGGCCCTGGGTTCAGGAGTTTGTGGAGTGGGAGAGATGGGGGCAGGTAGTGTGGGGGTCTCCTAGATTGGGGGCTGCACCCAGGGTCCCCTTTTCCCAGTCTGTATCTCACTGCCCAAGTCCCATCCACAGAGATGCAGTGCTAGCTCACAGCTGCCCTTCTGGAATCTCCACCTGAGTGTGGGGAGCAGAGGGGGGTGGGGAGGAGTGGAGCAGAGGTGGGGGCAGGGTGGGACCTGGAGGATGGGGACATCTAGGCCAGATGCTGTCTTCCACCCACAGGGGACCTGGTGGCTGAGGTGGCCTGTGCCAAGCCCCCGCCGGACAGTCTGCTGTGTAGCGGGTAAGCCCTGTGAGGGATAGAGGTGGGCCTTCAGAGTGGCTGGTGTCATCCCTGCCTGTCCAGCCTCCACCTTGGTGGAGGCCATTTGGGAAGGACCAGACTGCTGGGCCCAGCGAAGGCTAGGGATGGGGAGATCCCAGGGCCTGTGCCACAGTGGGTGATGGTGCCTCCCTGTCCTCTGTCCACTAGGAGCTCCCTGGTGGCCTCTGCCGGCCTGGAGAGCCACGGCCGGACCCCATCTCCTTCTCCCTCTCCCACCTGCAGCAGCTCTCCCAGCCCCTCTGGGTAAGTAGGGCCCAGGTGGGGTGGCTGCCCCTCCCTGGCAAGGTCTGCTATGTCTGGAGGCCTTGCCTTTGATCAGACCTGGCTGGACCCCAGCCCCACAGAGAGGATCCCATTAAAGGCCGTGGGCCAAGGGGTTGGTGGTGGGGGTACTGAGGACATTGCCTACCTTCTGACTGGAGTCTCCCTCTGGGCCAGTGGCCAGGCGGCCCCTGCCCGAGGCTGTCTGGGCCTGGTTCTACCCCAGCACCCTTGTTCAGTGAGCCTGACCTCCCTCCACAGCCGGGCTGGCCCGTTCTCTAGCAGTCGGTGTGGAGCCTCGGTTCCCATCCCGGTCCCCACCCAGGTGCACAACTACCAGCGCATTGAGCAGAATCTGCACTCTCCAGCTCTGCCCCAGACGCCCCGGTGAGTCCTGGCTGTGCACTATGCGTCAGCACCATACGCTCTTGGCTCCCTGGGTCCAGTGCTGTTCCGACCATGTGAGCAAGGTGTCCTGAGCTTATAAAACCATGCTGACCAGGGGTGTATCATCACTGAGCCACGTCCTCAGCCTTTTTATTTTTTATTTTAAGACAGGGTCTTGCTAAGTTGCCTACGGCCAGGCTGGGGATGTAGCTCAAGCGGTATCGCGCTCGCTTATCATGTGCTGGGCGCTGGGTTCGATCCTCAGCACCACATAAAAATAAAATAAAGATGTTGTGTCCACTGAAAACTAAAAAATAAATATTAAAAAATTCTCTCTCTCTCTCTCTCTCTCTCTCTCTCTCTCTCCCCCCCATCTTTAAAAAAAAAAAGTTGCCTACAGGCTTACTAAATTACTGAGGCTGGCAACACTGGGATTACAGGCAGGCACCACCATGCCAGAAAGTTTTTCCAGTTTTGACAGAAGTAAAGATGGGAGGAAGGGGTGCTTTCTTTGTTGTTCACGAGAGGCAGATTGGCCTAGCAGTTGTCCCTGCAGGACTGTGGCTTTGGAGTCAGAGGGCCCTGGTTGGTCAGTGCTTGCTCCAAGGCCATTGCATTGCCTGGGCAGCACAGTGAGGGCGGAGCCAGCAGCAGGGCTGTTTGCCTTTCTGATGTGGGTGAGGAGCTAGGGCCTTACCTCCTGGTTTGCTGCACCTGCAGGTCCTCTGCCATCCGCAGGTCGGGCAGCACCAGCCCCCTGGGTTTTGCCCGAGCTAGCCCATCTCCTCCATCCCACCCTGATGGAGCTGTCCTGGCCAGGAAGCTGTCCCTGGGTGGAGGCCGGCCGTACATGCCATCTCCTCAAGGTGAGCCTCTGGCCTGGTCCCAACCTGAACAGAACTGGCTAACTGAGGTTTATATGGGGTACGAGGGACTCTGCAGTCTGTCCTGGTCTGACCCTGGGACCCTTTCCTTTAAGTTGGAACCATTCCTGAGCGGCCAGGCTGGAGCAAGGCACCCTCCCCACAGGGAGCTGAGATGCGGGCTGGAAGGTCCCCGCGTCCAGGTAGGAACAGTCAGCATGGCCCTGAGGACCGAAAGGTGGATTGGGCCAGGTGGCTGGTCTCCTTGCTGGGGACTTGGAGGCTGTTTGTCCATAGCCCCTTCTGCTCTGCAGCTGTGTGCCCCTGCACGGGCCTCTCAGTCCCTCTGCTGGTTTCCTCAGTTGCAAAGTGTAGCAAAGGCATCACCTACAGTGACTGTGGGGCCCAGGGATGTGTGGGGAGGGCGTGGCGACAGTGGCCCTGTGTGTCCCTTTTCTGGAGTGCCTGAGGACCTGGGAGGTGCTGAGGCCTGGTCTCTGGTCCTAGGCTCCTCTGTGCCCGAACACTCCCCTCGGGCCCCAGGTCTTGGCTGCCGTCTGCACAGCGCCCCCAACCTGTCCGACTTGCACGTTGTTCGGCCCAAGCTCCCCAAGCCCCCTACAGACCCCCTGGGAGCAGCTTTCAGCCCACCACAGGCCAGCCCTCCCCAACCAGTTCCTGTGCCACAGCCCTGCCGGTCCCTGCGTGGCTCGCCCAAGCTGCCTGACTTCCTGCAGCGCAACCCCCTGCCTCCCATCCTGGGCTCTCCCACCAAGGTGAGAGAACCAAGTCTGCCCTACAGGTTCCAAGGTCCCTCTGTTATTAAGGGCTGGCCAGCTCCTGGTGACCTCRTGCCTGCCCTGTGTTGAGGCCTTGTAGAATGGGGACTTGTAGCCGGCTGGTCCTTAATGTGACACCCCGTGACCGCCCTTTGGAGGGGACATGCACCTGGGAGGCCAACTTCCAGTGGCAGCACGGCATTGTAGCAGGACTGGCCACTCCTGGGGTGTGTGGACTGAGGGACCGGGTGAGGGAGAGTCAGCCAGACGGGGTACACCCGGGCTCAGCCTCCCACAGCTGCAGACAGCTGCTAGGTGTGATGGCCTCTGTGCCTGCCTGCTGGCCCCTTGCAGCACCCTGCCTCACCCTCGCATCACCTGGGGGCTCCCCAGGCAGGTGTGCTCAGGGCTGCTCTGTCCCCAGGCCCTGCCCTCCTTCGACTTCCCTAAGGCCCCCAGCTCCCAGAACCTGCTGGCTCTCCTGGCCCGGCAGGGCGTGGTGATGACCCCCCCACGGAATCGGACACTGCCCGATCTCTCAGAGGTGGGGCCCTTTCAGGGGCAGCAGCTGGGCTCTGGCCTGCGGCCTGCTGAGGACAACAGGGGCCCCTTTGGCCGGTGAGTGGGGATGGGAGGCGAGCTCCCCAGCCTTGTCCTGCTTCAGCCACCCGCTGTGGTGGCTTCAGTGATCCTTGCTCAGACCTGGCCGCCCTGCAGCCAGTCCTTCCCTCCTGAGCCTCTGCTGCCTGTCGGAGGTAGCTGTTGGTGGGATCTGCTCTTGGTGGGTGGAGGGCTGACGGTATTGCCTGTGCCTGTCCTTGCAAAGACAGCTGTGCGGGGCCAGGCTGCTTACAGTGTGCATCTGCAGGTCCTTCAGCACCAGCCGCCTCACCGACCTGCTGCTCAAGGCTGCGTTTGGGACCCAGGCCTCCGACTCTGGCAGCACAGACAGCCTGCAGGAGAAGCCCATGGAGATTGGTGGGCCAGGGGCCGGGGGCAATGGCTGAGGGCCGGTGGGGCTGGGTGGGGCTGGGGCCAATGTCTGGGGGCCGGGTAGGACTGCCCCAGAGTAGGCCCTGAGCCCTCCTTGTCTCCCAGCACCCTCTGCTGGCTTCGGAGGGAACCTGCACCCAGGAGCCCGGGCTGGGGGAGCCAGCAGCCCCTCCCCAGTGGTCTTCACTGTGGGTTCTCCCCCCAGTGGGACCACACCGCCCCAGGGACCCCGCACCAGGATGTTCTCAGGTGAGGACCTGTTGGGGCTGAGGCAGCACCCTGGGGCTGGGGATCCTTTAGCTTTAGGTAGTTCCGAGGCCCCAAGGCCCTGAGATGGGCAGAGGGCCATCCCAGCTCAGCCCCAACTCCCAAGGTGTCCAGGCCAGTCAGTAAGCAAGGTCTGTGGCTCTTCTAGATTGTACCTTGAGCAGGGATGGTGCCTGGGACACTGGGCCCCTGGCCAGGACGCCAGCCTCTGGGTTCATCCACCTTGACAGGCTGTCCTCTGTAGGCCACTTGCCCCYGGTTTTGGCACAGACTTGGACTGGGGCCTGTCACTTCCACAGTGAAGGTAGTGGGCTGCTCCATTCTCTGGGACACCCTACCTTCCCTGGAACCTAGCCCCACTAGGTGGGAACCTTGCACCCTCATGGCCTCAAGTGCCTCCACCTTTGGGTAGATGTGGGCTCAGGTGTGCAGAAGCCTGCAGTGCCCCAGGTGGGGTCCTGTGGGACCCCCAATGGCTGGGGGCCATTAATGTGGCCTGCTGGGCTTTCCCTGCCACAGTGGGGTGTGAATTGAGGCCACCTGGGCCCTAGTGTGGAGTCTGCAGGGCTGGGGGCTGTGGAGCAGGAGAGGGATGGGGCTGCCACCTCCATCACCAGCTGTCTCCCACAGTGGGCTCTGCTGGCTCCTCTGCCCGTCACCTGCTGCCTGGGGCCTGCAGTGAGCCTGTCCCTGAGCTCCCTGCCCCAGGCCATTGCTGCAGCTTTGCTGACCCCCTCTCTGTCAACCTGGATGGGGCTGTGACCTTTGAGGCCCCTGATCTCCCAGAGGAGACGCTCATGGAGGTGAGGCCCGGTGGGGTGGCGGTGTGGGCGTGCCCCCGCCTGTGCTGGCAGTGAGCGCCCCTCCTGTCTGCAGCAGGAGCATACAGAGATCCTGCACAGCCTGCGCTTCACACTTGCCTTCGTCCAGCTTGTCCTGGAAATCGCTGCCCTCAAGGGCAGTGCCAGCGAGGGGGCCGGGGGACCTGAGTGCCAGCTTCAGGAGAGCATAGTGGCCGACCAGATCAGCCTGCTGAGCCGCGAGTGGGGGTTGGTATTGCCCCAGGTGGGGCTGGTGGGCAGTGCCCTGGGGCAGGACCTGTGCCTCTGACCTGCTGGCTCTCCTGCAGCTTCGCAGAGCAGCTGGTGCTGTACTTGAAGGTGGCTGAGCTCCTGTCCTCGGGCCTGCAGACCGCCATTGACCAGATCCGGGCCGGCAAGCTCTGCCTCTCATCTACCGTGAAGCAGGGTGAGGGCTGTGGTAGCATGGCTGAGGGGTGGGTCCAAGGAGGCAGGAGCCAGCGGATGTGAGAGAGCGGGGACAGTGGGCAGGTAACAAATGACAAGGCCACATGGGCAGCCCAGGCCAGGTGGAGGAGCAGCTGGTGTAGTCCACTGGGRTCATTCACCCCTGTGGGTGCTGCTGAGCCTGGCATGGAGGCCAGGAGCCTTGGGGTTTGTGGTGGGGTGGGTGCTTGCTCCCTGCCCGGGTATCCTCCATGCTTGGCATTGGCCCAGCCCTCCCACCATGAGCTTCCTTGTCACACAGCCCTCCCTGGCCAAGGTGGGCCTGGGCTTACCTCACCTGTGCCCTCCTCCCTGCCCCAGTGGTCCGCAGGCTCAACGAACTGTACAAGGCCAGCGTGGTGTCCTGTCAGGGCCTGAGCCTGCGACTACAACGCTTCTTTCTGGACAAGCAGCGGCTGCTGGACGGCATCCATGGTGTCACCGCTGAGAGRCTCATCCTCAGTCACGCTGTGCAGATGGTAGGGCGGGCTGCTGTGCTGGGACCCTGGAGGCCCATGGGGGCTTTGGGCTGCTGCTGGTCTCTTGGCTTGGAGAGCTAGATGGCAAGGGCGTCCCTGGACCTGGCCCACGGCCACCTCCACAGTCCAGCTGCATCCTGGTCACCTTCCCCAACTAAAAAAGAGATCTTCTCTCCAGACACTGGGGTCCCAGGCATGCTTCTGTGGACCTCTGTGGCTGCTTTCCTGAGATAAGACACACATAACAAAAGCCTGGCCAACCACAGGGACAGGCCTACCTGCCCTGCCTCTCGCTCCCCCCGCTCGGGCTGCCGCCAGGGCACCTTGTCACCAATGGTGGTCTGAATGACAGTAAGAGAGTGCTCTGGGCCACATGGCGGGCAGGTGTCTCCAGGCCAAGCTCATAGCACAGTGGCCACGCTGGGCTGAGTGGGACACCTACTCTGGGGGTATCCACAGCTCTAACTGCCCTTGGCCTTGTGAGTGGTGGTGACGGACCATTGGGCTTGTACCCCATGGGACAGTGCTTCAGTGTGTCCCCTGCTGAGGAGGTGTGTCACCCTGCCCAGCTTTGCCCTTCCCGCAGGTGCAGTCGGCCGCCCTGGATGAGATGTTCCAGCACCGGGAGGGCTGTGTGCCGCGCTACCACAAGGCGTTGCTGCTGCTGGAGGGACTGCAGCGCATGCTCAGGGACCAGGCAGACATTGAGAGCGTGGCCAAGTGTGAGTGCAGGCTGGCTGGATGCCAGGGCAGGCCGGCTGGGTGCGCAGGGCGGCTCTACATCTGTCCACTTCACCTTCCCTCCCCTCTGCAGGCAAGCTGTGCATCGAGAGAAGGCTCTCTGCCTTGTTAACTGGCATCTGCGCTTGACCCACTGCCTGGTGTGCTGTCCCGAGGGGCTGGACCCTCTCTGCGAACCCTGCGGGGTGGGGTCCACGTGCTGGCCAGACTGTCAGGACAGGCCTGCCAGCCGTGGCTGATGGTGCTGAGTCTGTGCGCCGGCCCCTGGGAGGGCCACTAGGTGGAGCCATGGAGTTCAAGCCCCACCATGTGGTGTGTCTCCTGCTTCAGAGGCTGCTGGTCTTTCCTGGAGGTGAACCGCAGGGTGCCAGGGACAGCTCCCTCCCTCTGCAGGATTTCCAAACTGGTTCCCTGTGGCTGCCTCCCGTGGCAGGCACAGGCGCCGAGTGGTAGCAGGTGGTGTTTGTGGTACCTGCCACCCTCCAAAGCCTGGGGCAGCCCTGAGGACAGGCGGGGCCCTGAGACAGCATTGCTGTGTCCATGCCAAAGCAAGCTCTTCCTCAGGGCTCACTGCCCAGTCGCTTGCCCAGGAACAAGGATGCATCCTTGGTTCTCCGCCCTTCTCTATAGGAACTGTCCCTCTGAGACCACCCACCCAGCTCTGTGGGCCACCTGTGCACTTTATGCTGACCGCCTGGAGAGCTGCGTGGACGGTGCAGACTGCAAGAACCCTTTCCTGCTCTGTGGGGAGCATGTGGATGCGCATGGATACCCGGGAGCTGTGGATACGCACATAGGTGTATACACACGAGGAGACCCGCCAGTGTGTGTGTGCACGGCCTCCCCAGCCCTTGGTGTGGTCCTGGGAGGAACTGCTGCCCTGCAGGAGACGCTGTCCGTGGGCTGAAAGGCTCTTAGGGACAGTGTGAAGCACCGAGTTTCCCAAACGCAGAACAGATGTCCTCTTTCACACTTTACTCCTAAAATGTGTCTTATTTTTCTGCAGTTCTTTCTTTTTCRTTGTTCAAAGGAGAGAATTTTAGGTGTTTGAGGAATTGCTCTGGAAGGTTGGGTGGGCCTGAACWTTGCTGTGGGTGCCACGTCGTGGGGGGCAGGAGGTGCCTGACGGGTGCCAGGGTATGGCACGGCTCTCTTGCCGGACACCCACTGCAGTATGGGTGTTTCTGGCTGGCTGCTTCCCACCGTCCTGCTATTTGGCCACAGGATAGGCAGTGCTCAGCCTCCATCCCCACCTGAACATGGTGGGCAGGGGAGGGTGGACCTTCTGTACAACAGGAAAAGTAACATGCAGAACCTCCCCGGGGCTTCACAGCTGGTCCTGATGTCAAGGCTTCTTGCCTGGCGGCTTCTGGGCTGGGTGGAGCCCTGTCTCCCAGGGCCCAGGGTGGGGTGTGCTCAGGGTGCCCTGCCTGGGCCTCCCTGGTCTGCCCACCCTGGCTTGGCTCAGCTTTGCCAGCCTTACTTGAATGTATCCCTGAGCATCCACGGAGGCAGATGTGGGTCAGTGGTGCCCACGGTATAGGTTCAGAGGTCATGTGCCACATGCACAGAAACRTGTGGTTTTCCTTGCAATACTTGAAATGTCGCCACTGTGCTTGGATGTATGAGAAAACCCCCACCCCTGTCTCCCTCGTCGCCCCGGCTTCCCTTCTGCATGTCCCGTGTTAGTATTTATTGTTTTATGCCGACGGGAACCCAGAGCCGCGGCAGACGGGTGCCGCGCCCTGCCTGCTTGGCCCCTCCTGGTGCCCACGGCTGTGGCTGCGTGTGCTGTGAGTGGATGCTGCCCTCCACGAGGTGGTGCTCAGGCCTGTGTCTTATTAGGGTGAATGTGTGAGTCCTCCCCTCACCTGTGTCGTGTGCCTCGAGGGAAGTAAACTTTGGAATTACCCATCGTGTCTATGTCCTATTTGGTATGCCACTGTCTTCCAAGTCCAGTTGTCTTCTCAGGTGTGGGGTCCCTCTGTGGAGCATGGTGTCCCCCAGCCCAAGTGAGGATTCTGGGGCCTCCCACGGTCCCCACGGCAGCTCACCTAGCTCTGGGAGCAAAGCCCAATCAGAGCCAGACCCAGGGACAGCTTTCTGGATTCATGCCATATTTTGCCCTCCTAATGGAAACAGCCCCCCAGGCTGAGGGGAGTAGTGGGGCCCAGGGCATCCACTGGCTTGACTCCTCTGGGAGGTGGACCAGGACGGTGTCCAGGGTCAGGTGGAACCCCTGTTGTACACAGGAGCTGCCATAGCCCTCGACACTGCCAGGACCCCTGCACACTGTGAGAACCTTCAGGGCACTTGGCCACAGAGCCCCAGCCAGTCCTTTTTAATTTTGAGGCAGAGTCTCACTACGTTGCCCTGACAACTGGTCCTCCTGCCTCAGCCTCCAGGTAGCTGGGGTTACAGTTGTGGCTCCTTTGCCCTTTCTCTTTTCATTTATTTTGAGAGAGGGTCTCATGGCATTGTTGAGGCTGCCCTGGAAACTGATCCTCCTGCCTCAGCTCCTTTGCTCATTTTAGTGGGCTAATTCTGCCCTTTTATTGTGGGATCCTAAGGTTAGTGTTTTTGCTCAGGAAGTCCAGGTTTTCAGTTCTACAGGTACCCCAGTAACAGATGCACTAACGTAGGCCCCTCTTCAACTCTGTAAGTGCCCGTGTCTGGAGTGGAGAGGCCAACAGCCAACCTGTGCTGTGTTCATAAGGAAAGTAACTGCAGTATTAAATGGAATTCTTTGGAAGGCTGCATCTTGGAGGAAGTAGGAGGTGCAGATCTTGGAAGTCTGAGGAGAAGAGTCTGAGGGTCCGTCTGGGGAGCCCTGGAGACCTGAAGCACACACAGGTGCTTGGCAGCTGGGAAGAAACTTCCCTGGGCGGGGTAGGCGGGGCGGGCTGGGGCCCTGCTCCTGTGAGGGACGTGCCCGCTGGTGTCAGGGCCCTGGTGTTCTGGGTTCACACTTGAGCAGTTGTAGGTTTGCAGTAAGCAGGGAGGCCCACAGAGTGGATTGCTGTCTCTGCGCCCTGGCGTCCTGTGCTGAGGAGCCATGGTCCTGGGAGGTGCTGTTGAAGCCACCAGACAGGGTGTTGGCTCATTTTGGGGTGGGGGTGTGTGTGTGCACAACCTGTGGGTCTTGACGAATGTGTGGTCATGTGCACCATCCCATCACACAGAATGGCTCACTGCCCTGTGCCCACCTGCTCCTCTGCCTGAGCCCGGGAGCTACTGAGGACTCCCCATGTCTATGGCTTGTCCTTTTCTTGAAGGCACCCTGAGTTCCCCAGCCTGGGCAGGCGTTGTGCACTGGAGCCTGAGGGGAAGAGGTGGCCCAGGAGGCCGGCCTGTGCACTGGGGCCCAGGGTGAGTGCTCTTAGCCAGGAGGGTGTACGGTCCCTGCTCTAGCACAGAAGCAGTACACCCTGTGCCTCTATCCCCTCTCATGGGCCTCAGTTTGCCCTCCACAGACAGGTTCAAGTTGAGGTGATACCATCATCTGTTAAGGAGGGAGCAGGTGTGGCCAGCACAGAGTATTGTGGGGGACAGGAGTACATCAGAGGCAAAGACTGGAGCACCTTGCTTGGACCTGGCTGCTGGCTGCTGGCTGCTGACTGCTGCGACTGGTCAGGAGACTTAGTGTGTTGAGGGGCTGGCTGGGGTGGAGACTGACCTCCCAGGGCACAGCACAGCACCTCAGGCTGGGTTGTGTTCTGCTGGCTGCAGGGGGACACCGTGGCCCCAGCAGACGCAGAACTGCCCAGCTGTGCGCTCCCACCAGGAGAGGTGTGTCTCGCAGATGCCTCAAGCTGCAAAGGCACAGAGAGCTGCTCTGGGAAGGGATCCCGGCTCCTCTGTGACGGGACAGGTGCTCTTGTGTGCCTATGCTTGGGACCCTTCCCTCCTAGAATAATGGCAGGTGAGATGGCCTGGGAGTTGTCATGCACGGTGGGTCACTTTCTCCTGTTCCCCTTCTGGCCACCAGCCTCACCCACTCCACATAGTCCGTGAATGGTCCCAGAAAGGGGCATCTATTGGGCCTTCTGGTCTCCTGGTTTCTCAGCACCAAAGCCACAACCTTCTGTGTCCACAAGGTCCCAGACTCTGGCCTTATTTCCTGTGGCTTTCTCCTTCAGCAGGCACCCTACAGGCTCTAGGTGGATGCCCCTGGCCCTAAAGCCTCCACCTTTAGGAGGGAGCAAGCCCTTCTTGGGGCCCTCCTGGCATGCTCCTGCCCCGGGGCTTTGCACTCTGGATGGAACATACTTGCCCTGTGTACCTACAGGGCTTCTTCCTGCCCCAAATTAAAGCATGTGGTCAGCTGAGTCAAGGTCCCCTGTGGTGTGCAGGCCCCGATTTCTGGGAAACTGGGAGCATGTTGTAGCTGGTAGGAAGGACTTGGCAGATGTGATTCATCTTAGGATCCTGAGTAGGGGAGAGGGAGAGGGTCCTGGATCATCTGGGAGGGAGCCTTTGTGAGGGCAAGTGGGAAAGCGGAGTTGGGAGTCAGCAAGGGTGGGGCAGAGTTCAGCTACACTTCTCATCTCTGAAAGAGTCAAAAGGAATGCAGGCTGAGGGTGCTCAGGGTGAATGTGGTATTCAGAAAACAGGGGGACTGACCTTTACATTGTCTGCTGTGGGTGCTTGACCAGGGACCATGTTGACTCTGGAAAATTGTACACTAGTCTTTGGCAAAAAAACAAGAACAATGTAATGAGCTTTCCATGACATTAAACATTCTCCATTTAAAGGAAATGAAAGTGGCAGCATTTAAAAAATGTCATCCTTGCTTGAACAAATAAAAGGTTGGCAAGAGGCATAAGTAGTCAGTGTTAGGAGCAGACATGCAGCTGGGGCCTTGGGGTGTAGCCCAGTGGTGGAAAGCTTGCCTGTTACGCGTGAGGACCTGGCTTCGGTGCCCCTAACACTGCAAATAAAATACAGTAGAGGTGAAAGCTGGGTCTGAATGCCAAACAAGCCCCTTCAGTGCCCTGTGCCTCATCCTCCCCCACTGTAATGTGGAGAAACAGCACAGCCTTATCCATGGTTCCACAAGGACTGATCCAGCTAGCGTGACACCGATTGGAATTGTGCCTGGCAACGGCAAGTGCTGTATCAATACCCACAATAAGCCAGGAATCCTGGGCCCCATGCTGTCTGCACCCTGCCAAGCCAGTGGGTGGAAAATGCAAGGACCCGCGGTGCATTGTCAGTGCCAGGGGTGCGGCTGTGCGACCTCGGACATGGGATGTACCTCTCTGTTCCAAGGATCCTCTTCAGTGACTATGGTGCTTGCCACTCCGGCAGGGCGCAAGGATTGGGCGAGTTAATGAATGTGTCAGCGGGTATGATCACTTGTTTATTCTAGGAATTCTCACAGTGGCTCATTCATACCCTTACCCTAACCCTAACAAAATGGATTCCCTTTTGGGATACTGCAGGGCCAAGGGCTTCTCTTCTGTGGATGTCTGCTGTGGGCCTTGGCCTTTGGTAACTGGGGCCTGGGAGGGAGCCTCGGCCTATGCCCCGCCCCATCCAGTCCCCATATTTTCCGGCTCCGCCTCACCTTGACGCGGAGGACTTTTGCCCCCGCTCGGCTGCCGTTGGGCGCCCGCCCGCTTCCGCCCTGGCTCACGTGTTCKGCCTCGGCTCCGTCGGCGGCCGTGAGTGGGGAGGGTGGGCGCCCTTCAGGTCCCGGCGCGCGGGCTGGGCCGACTCGAGGACGGCGGGCGGCGGGAGGAGGGCCGGGGGAGGTCAGAGGACCTCCTGGGACTGGGGCTGCGCAAGCTCGGAGCTCGGCGCCCCGCCCGCCGCGCATGGGTGTCCCGGGCCTGCAGGCCGCGCTGCGGAGAGCCTGGGGACGGTGGCCGGCGCGCCCCGGCCCGCGCGCGCCCGGGTAAAGACCGGGCAGGCCACCTGCTGCTCCACGCCGCCCAGCGCTGCCCACCCGCTCTGTGCCGGCTGTCACTGGCTGCCTCTGTCCCCTTCTGCCTGTGATGCCCCACCGCTGCCTCAGGCTGCCCACCGCTGCCCCCTCCTCCCTGCACTGTTCACCTCCCCGCCCTTCGTCCCCTGCCCCTTGCTATTCTCCTTTGCCATGGGCCGCCTGCCTCTGCCGTGGGCTGCGGTCCTACAAGGGCCCTGCTTCCTGCAGTCCTGTGCTACCCATCCCTGCTGAGGACCCCGCCCCATGACCAGCCCATACTAGGCCACCCCTGGGCAAGGTCCCCAGTGAGGGCTGGAATGGGCCTGATGGGTACAGCCTGCCAGGTCTGCACCCTGTTGCCCCTGCCTGCTTTGGCCCACTCACTTCCATGTCCTCTCAGCCTACCCATCATGGCCGGGAAGGAGATGCACCCAGCACGGGCCTCACACCAGCAGGACAGAAAGGCCCGAGGTGGCTGGATCTGGGAGGACGCACAGTACCCGCCCAAGAGGCTCAGGGGCAGCGAGGATGAGGAGCGGCCAAGAAAACTGCCCAAGCGCAAGATTGTACTGCTCATGGCCTACTCAGGGAAGGGCTACCATGGCATGCAGGTGAGACTGTGCCTGGCAAAGGCTGGCTGGGTTCAGCTCTGCTCTCTTGGCACCACTGTGGCTTCACGCAGGGACCCAAGTCCTCAGGGCACACAGGTCATCTCCCAGGGTGGTGGGCCATCTCAGTGGCTTCCCTGCATGTGGCCTTGAGTGAGCTGGTGACTTCACCTCCTTTTCTTGGGATGGGTGCACAGCACCTTCTGAATGGGGTGTCAAATGGGCCAGGCACACTCAGACTCAGAGGAGGGACTGTGCAGCTCCTGGACGCAGAAGGTCAGTAGGGCCACGGGCCTCTTTGCTGAGGGCAGGGAGGCCCCATCTCTCCATCCAGCTCATCAAGCAGCAGGCTTCTGTCTGTTCCTTGCAGTTGCCTCTACAGCTTTCACTTGCTTTTTCCAGGAGCTGAAGGGTTAGTAAAAGCTGCTATGCCAGACCCAGCTTTGGCAGGCCCTGTCACCTGTCAGGGACAGTGGCAGGGTGGGGCTGTCCTCTGTGGGCTGGATGCCAGTGATACAATGTGGGTTGCTGCGCTCCATGTGCTATGGTGTGGACCATGCAGAGACTGGGCCCAGTGGACTCCCTCATCCCCAGCTGCTGGCTGTGTGTGCGCTGCAGGCTCCAGGGAAGTGAAGTGTCCCATCTCTTTTCCAGAGGAATGTGGGGTCCTCACAGTTCAAGACAATCGAGGATGACCTGGTATCTGCCCTGGTCCAGGCAGGCTGCATTCCTGAGAATCACGGGGAAGATATGAGGAAAATGTCTTTCCAGCGTTGTGCCCGCACTGACAAGGTGGGTGGTGTTCCCTGCCCCTTGCCTGTGGGCACCAGCAGCTTTGGCTGCCTGCCATCCTGGTGCTCTGTTTGTCATGACCCTGGCSGGCAGGACAGGCACAGATGAGCCTAAATGGAAAAGACCTTTCTCTTTGAAGTCTAGGAGCAGGACGAGCTCACAGTGGCAGCATCGGGTGCCCACCGCTGGCCCCACTGTGTCCTTGCTGGCCTTCACGCTCTCCTTTCACTTGTCGCAGGTAGACTTGCCTCTGCAGGTGGTGCAGTGGCTGTGACCAGTGCTTTAGATCCATCCACATCAGCCCCTGGATGCAGACACAGCTGGCCACACTAATGAAGGTGTGCYGTCTAGAAGCCACATGTGAGGGCCCGTACACGGTAGACTGTCAGCTTTTGCTCAGCGTGTGCAGGACGCACTCACTGCAACACGCGAGCAACACGGACTCCTCTTGGGTGTGCTCTGCCCCGTGCATGCGCCAGGTCTTTGAGCCAGTATGCGTTTCTGATGGGCTTACGACCCCTCCTGGACTCAGCCCCGGCCAGCATGGGACTATTGTGCCTGGGCCTGGGCCCTAGAGCTGGAGGTGTGTCACCTAGGGCACCTGTATGGGCAGGTGGGATGACGGGGCCTGAGAGCATGCGCCTCTTGGTGGCACCCAGTACTGGGAACAAGCTGGCTCTCATCCCTGGTTTCTGCCTGCCTGGCCTGCAGGCTGCCTGAGGCACCRGGGTCTGTCCTGGACAGCGATTTGTGGGTCACGGTCCCCTGGGGATCTGAATAAAATTTTGGATCTTGTTCCGAGTAACGTAGTTTCAAAGGCTTGTGGGTCTCCTGGATCTGCAGGCTAGGCAGGAACCCAGAGTCAGAGCGCCCTAGAGGGAGGTGTGGGGAACCCGTGGCCTGCAATTTCAGTTTCAGGGCATGAGGACAGTGATAGATTTGGTGTCCCAAAGCAGAGGCAGTTCTGTGGTTCCTGTTGTTGTTTGTGGGTTTTTGAAATTTTTGTTTGGTAAACAGGGGTCTCACTATGCTGCCCAGACTGGCCTCAGACTTGCACCTCCCAGGCCTCCACCCCCAGTGGCTGGGACGCAGTTCTGTGGTCTTAGTGCTTTACTCTCTATTTCATTCTTCCGTTTACATATCCAGTTGTCTTCAAGGTAGAAGTTGTTAAAATGTACCTGARCTGATGAAGAGAGCCTGTCCAAACGTGGGCGTTTGTCCAGTGGGAATCGAAGCCAGGGACGCTCTCCCACTGAGCGGCATCCTCAGCCCTTTTTACTTTTGAGACAGGGTCTAAGTTACTGAGGCTGGCCTGGAACTTGCGACCCTCCTGCCTCAGACTCCTGAGGTGCTGGGATTGCAGGTGTGGCGCCTGCACCTTGGGTGTAGTGTGGAGTCAGCTTTCACCCCACGTCCGAACCTGTGTTCCCAAGGCCCCTCCTGGCCTGTGCAGAACCTTGCCCTCCCAGTGCCCAGGCGTCTCCTGTTGTGGCAGACAGGGAGCCTGTTCCTGGCTGCGCTCATTCCAATCCTGTGGTTTACACTGTACCTTCTTTCTTCCTGAATCTTTGGGAGTCGGGTCTTACATGGGATTTTGCTTCCTGACTGCCCAGGGCTAGTCTGTTCCTTGATTCAGTGCTCTGTTGGGCCCTAGGTCATCTGCAGCAAGCTTTGCTGCCCTAACCTTGTGGGTGTGGACACTGCCTTCTCAGTGAATTCCTGCCTTTGGTGTACTTCGAGAAGCAGGACTTGTGTGCGGGCTGGGGCATTTGCTGGCCTCTTATCTTAGGACCAGTGTGCCATAGATTGAGCTGGAGGGCCAGGTCACTCCTCACTTTGCTTCCTTTACAGGGTGTGTCTGCAGCTGGCCAGGTAGTGTCCCTGAAGGTGTGGCTGATTGATGACATTCTAGACAAGATCAACAGCCACCTTCCCTCCCACATCAGGATTTTGGGTAAGCCTTGTAGCCAGGGGTGGGTGGTTTCTAGACTGGAGGCTGTGTAGGCSTCCCTCCTTTTGCCATGTCCCTGGGAATGGCCAGAGAGTACAGCAGCTGCTCAGTCCTGCTTCTGGAGTTCAGTGTTCCTGCCTCCTTTGGGCCCCGGCCCCGGGTCCTCCTGCCGCACCTGTCCTGTAGAGCTGGGTGTGACGGTCCAGGCCATGGTCAGGACAGAGGAGATGTTCTTTAGCAGGTCTGATGAGTGGGATTTCTAGGCTCTCGGGTCTGTGGTGTCAGGATTTGAGCCCAGGATCCTGTGCACGCTGCGTGCATGCTGAGCTGCACCCAAGTGCTTTGTTCTTCAGTGCTGGGGAAGGCCTTTTCAAAAAGGAGAGAAAAGCCTGACCACCTCTGCCTTGCAAGTGGCGTGCCTGGCCTGTGCTGTTTGGGTGGTGTGACTGTGCAGACTGCCGTTCTGCTCTTTTCCCCCTTGACCTCTGTGCCTCGTTCCCCCTTCCTTTTGGATTAACTGATGCTCCTTATTCCATTTAATTAACAGCTTTTTTGGTTAGTACTTGTGATCTGTGTCTGTTGGTGACTGCTTAGGGGTGTCCTTCTTTCTTTGGTGCTGCTGGAGATGAACCCAGCTTCCTGTGCATGCAGGCCACTGCTCCCGGGAGCCATCCAGTCCTGCTCTGGGGTTTCTCTGAAGGGCCAGGTGGTTTTAGGCCTTGGGTGGCATAGATCATCATAGTCTCTATTGCTGCTGCTTTTTTTTTTTGGTGACCACTTTCTCAATCTCCTTTAACAGATTGTACACAATACAAACTGTGAAAAATTTTTGTATTTAGGGCTGGGGATCTAGCTCAGTTGGTAGGGTACTTGCCTCACATGCACAAGGCCCTGGGTTCAATCCCCAGCACTACTAAAAAAAAAAAAAAAAAAAAACTTTTTTTACTTGGAGACAGTTGCTCAGGGACTCACTCAGTTGCTGAGGCTGGCTTTGACCTTGGATCCTCCTGCCTCAGCCTCCTGAGTTGCTACAGTCACAGGTGTGCATCACTTCACTGGGCTCTTCCTTATTCTTCCAAGGATTTCCTGTGCAAGTGCAGCCATACGCCCCGGGTGTCCCAGCCTGTGTTTTGCCCTTTTACTGAACAGTTCCTCATACCAAAGGCCTGTGCTCAGCTTCTGGAGGTTGCTCCTGAGTCCAGGGCTGCTTTCTCTCCACCTCTGGTCTGTGCCTGTGGGCCTGGAGGTTGTGTCCAGTCTTTCTGCTGCAAGTGCCGTGTCAGTAGCGTGACTTGGAGCAAGAGTGTCCCTGGCCACTGCAGCACTTCTCAGTCGGCTCGTGACCACGCATGTGCAGGCCGCAGGGGTCTACACCCAGAGGCTGGCCGCCACTCAGTGTCGTCACACCCTTGCCAGCACCAGCCTCAGCAGACCCACATGCTTCTGTTGGTCTGTCGGTCGGGCTTGTGTTTGTGTTTCATTCTGAGATAGGAATTCAGGACCCAAAAGCCCAGCTCTTTTGGGGGTTACCGAGGATTAAACTCAGGGGCACTCAACTACTGATCCACATCCCCACCCTATTTTGCAATTTATTTACAGACAGGGTCTCACTGAGTTGCTTAGGGCCTCACCATTGCTGAGGCTGGCTTTGAACTCGCTACCCTCCTGCCTCGGCCTCCTGAGTTGTGGTGATTATAGGTGTGGCCACTGTGCCGGGCTCCAAAGCCCAACTCTTGGTAGCGCTTTGTGCTCAGCGTGGTGAGTGGGCAGCCAGTCCTGCGCCATGCTCACCTGCTTCTCCTCGTGTACCCCCCAGGGCTGAAGAGGGTCACGGGTGGGTTCAACTCCAAGAACAAGTGTGATGCCAGAACCTACCTGTACATGCTGCCCACCTTTGCCTTCGCCCACAAGGACCGCGACGTGCAGGACGAGACCTATCGCCTGAGCCCAGAGACCCTGCGGCTCGTCAATAGACTCCTGTCCTGCTACAAGGGCACCCACAGCTTCCACAACTTCACCTCGCAGAAGGGGCCGCGGGAGCCCAGTGCCCGGCGCTACATCCTGGACATGTACTGCGAGGAGCCCTTCCTGCGCGAGGGCCTGGAGTTTGCTGTCATCAAGGTGAAGGGCCAGAGCTTCATGATGCACCAGATTCGGAAGATGGTGGGCCTGGTGGTGGCCATCGTGAAGGGCTACGCCCCGGAGAGCGTGCTGGAGCGTAGCTGGGGGGAGGAGAAGGTGGATGTGCCCAAAGCGCCAGGGCTTGGCCTAGTCCTGGAGAGGGTGCACTTCGAGAAGTACAACCAGCGCTTTGGCGGTGATGGGCTGCACGAGCCCTTGGACTGGGCACAGGAGGAGGGGAAGGTGGCGGCCTTCAAGGAGCAGCATATCTACCCCACCATCGTCAGCACTGAGCGGGACGAGCGGTCCATGGCCCAGTGGCTGAGCACCCTGCCCGTCCACGATTTCAGTGCCACTGCACTTGCGGCGGCCCGGACAGGCACCAAGGTAGGCACTGGTCGTGAGGAGCAGGCCCAGAGCCTGCATGTGGGGAGGCTGGGCAGTAGTGCTTCTCCTCCTCCTAGTAGATAGATGGGCAAGTGTCACTTCCCAAGTTCACATGCAGCTGGAGGGGTGGGCCCAGAGCATGTGACCGCTTGGTCAGCGCCCTGGAAACTTGCCTCCATCTGGTACTGGCTGCCTCCCTCTCTTCCCACTGCTTTGTGTCCTGTGGGCATGGTTCACCAGCTAGTGCTAGATTATGCTCTTGGCCAGTCTGAGTCCAGGTCTCCTTGCTGCAAGCAAGGGTTGCTTGTGCCCAATGCTCAGCTGCCAGGCGTTCCCACCCTGACCCGCTCAGGCKACTCTGCTCCCCTCCATCCGGCAGGGCAGTTTGGTGCAGGGGGCTCTGCAAAGGACCTAGTACAGTGTATATTTTAGAACAAGAAGGAGCTGTCCGTCAGACTCCTGGCTGGGGGACGCTGCTCAGCTGGTGGGTCCTCCTACATGCAGGAAAGTGTGTGTGTGTGTGTGCGTGTGTGCGTGCAAGTGCTAGCCTCACCGTCCTTTCCGTCTGCCCCTCCGCAGGTCCCCAGTCCCCTGGACGGCAGCGAAGGGGAAGGGGACGGAGACACTGACTGAGGCTGTGGGGCTGGAGGTAAGATGGTGCAGCTTGCCTGCTGTGAGCACCGGGAGCCCAGAGCTGCCTCAGGATGCTGTCTCCAGTCCCCATCTCAGGAGTGCCGCCTAGCCATCTCTGCTCCAGCTCCCTGTGCATGCCTTGGCACGTGAAGACACTATTTTTTAAAAGAAGCAATTTTCTTATTAAATAAGTATGTTTTGCTTAGTGAGTCCTGTTTCATTTTTGTTTTCACTTTTTTTTTTTTTGGTTAAGAGACATGAGTGGGAAATGGCTGCAGATAGCTGCCCACCGGCTCCCCGCCCGCCCTTGGGGCTATGAGTGGGAAATGCTGAGGAACACAGACCTGCTCCCTCCATGAGAGGCAGGGCAGGAAGGGCCAGGTGCTTGGAGCCCCAGGGCATCACACTGTGTCTACCCTGTCCTCTCCCTAGACCCGAGCGGGCACCCCTGTTTCTGTGCCTTGAGAAGGCTGCCTGGGCAGGCAAGCCCCCGTCTGGCCTCAGCCAGCTGCTGGCCTGCTGCTGGAATATGCCACTCTGTGTCCCCAAGCTCTGGGCCTCCTCTCTGTCCCAGAGTGCCTGCCTGGAGCCTGGCTTGGAGTTTGCCCTTTCTAACTACGTCTCTCCACTGCTGCCACCACAGTGTCCAGAGGGGGAGCCCACCGTTGGTGTGCTGGAACCCCTTCCACCACTCGGGCCCTTTCACAGCCAGGGCTTTCTCCTTTGTCCCCTGCATACCTCACGTGTGGGCGTGTGCACCTGCATCAATCATTGTGTCTTACTGGGACTGAGCCCCGGGGTGCTTAACCACTGAGCCATTGATTATAAGTTGCCCAGGCTGGTCTTGAACTTGCCATTCTCCTGCCTCAGCTTGCAGAGTCCCTCGAATGACAGGTGGGCACTCCTGTATTCAACAGAATCCACTCATGTAAAGTGTACAAAGAGTGACTTAGTAAGCTCTCCAAGTCGTGCAATTATCAGCACTAATTTCACATTTTTAATACCCCAAATGAAAATCCCACGGACGTTTGAAGTCGCTCCCTGCCTGCTCCCCGACCCCTGGCAAGACAGCTCTGTTCCGCAGGCTCCCTGTGCAGGGAATCGTCCAACCCCTGATGTGACTGAAGAGTACTGACCTCGCAGGCGGCCAGGTGTGCCCGCGGGTGCGGGACGCGCCAGCCCCTCTGCGCCGCCCTCTGCCCCTGCCCAAGGCGCCCGCTTGCGCTGCTGCCGCTTTTCTCCAGCGCCYCGAGCGAAGCCCAGTTTGGTCCTGGCTCGTATTTGCATTTCTTTGGTGCCCAATGACGCCGAAGGCCTTGTCACGACCGCTCGCCGCGGCCCACATGCCCACGCGGCAGCTCCGCCTGGCCCACCCGAGCCCTTCCCTAAGCTGCCCGAAGCCTCCAGAGCCAGTCCTCTACCTGCGCCGGCCGCTCCCTCAGGCGAGGCTGTGGCCACGCCCCGGCCCTCCCCGAAGCCTCGGGTGCTCRCCCGAGCCCGCCGGCCTCTCTAGCCCGCCGCCGCCGTCTCTCTAGCCCGCCGTCCTCGCCGTCCTGCGCCACCGCGCGGTGGGGAGTGGCGAGGCGGGCCGGGCGCCGCGCGTCCCTCCCGCTTGCCGTAGCCGCCGCGCCGTCGCGCCGCCGCTTCCTGCGTTCGCAGACCCGGATGCGTCGAGCGGCTGCGGCGCGCTCAAGCCTTCTTCGGTCTGGACGCTGTGCTTCGCAGCCCCGTGGCCCACGGTGAGCTGGAGGCCGCGACCGGGCGGGCGGGGAGCCGGTCGGCAGCTATCTGGGCGGCCGCCGTGGGCCCCGCCGCCCGCGTCGCGTCTGGAGCAGGCCGCGGCAGCGCTTTGTCGCGGGCGGGCGGGGCCGAGGGCCGAGAGGCAGGGGGCGACCTGTGGGCCTGGGCCGCGGCGCGTCATCTGTGCCCAAGGAGGGCCGGGTCGGAGTCCTGTGTGCCCGCGCCGAGTTGTGCGGGCCCTGCGCTGTGTGGTTCTGGCGCTGTGCGGGCCCGGCGCTGTGAGGGCCTGGCGCTGTGCGGTCCTTGGGGCTATGCGGTCTCGGCGCTGTGCGGGCCCTGGCTATGCGGTCCCCGGCGCTTTGCGGTCCTTGGGGCTGTGCGGGCCCGGGGCTCTGCGGGTCTGGCGCTGTACGATTCCGGCGCTGTGCGATTCCAGCGCTCTGCGGTCCTCGGGCTTTGCGGGTCTGGCGCTATGCGGTCCTGGCGCTGTGCGGCCGTGGGTCTGGCGCTGTKCAGCGGTGTCTGGCGCTGTGCAGCCCTAGGGCTACGCGGTGCTCGGGCTCTGCGGGTCTGGCTTAGCGCAGCCTTGGGGCTATGCGGTCCTCGGGCTGTGCGTCTCTGCGACCCTGTGCTGGGCTGGCTGCTGGTGGCGGCTAGCTTCGTGGCCCTGCGCAGTGTAGTTGCCCGAGTATGAAGCCTCCAAGCGTTCTGCCAGAGGTCCCTGAGCCCCCGAGTCTGCGCTCCCTTCGCGGTTCCCTTGTTCTCTAGGGCCAGCTTCAGTGGATACTTTTGGTTTCCTGTTGACCCCCACGTCCTTTTTCAGCTGCTGATAGGTCCCAGCTCACCCTGCCTTGTCCAGCTTGTGGGTCCTGGGAAGCTCTGCCCCATCCCTCTGCTGTGTTCTCACAGAAGGTGGTCTCATCCTGTGCATGACTGTGGATTACGACTGCGTTACGGTGTCACTCTGTCTTGAGTGTGAGGTCAGGCTGGATCTCGCATCTCATGCCTGCCTCTTTTGCAGTCCTTTCATTTCAGACATAGCTTTAGAACTCCTTGGAGGGGCCAAGGCTGTGGCTCAGTGGTGGACTAGCATGCAGAGGCCTTGGTCCCATGCCTGGCACCAAAAACAGACAAAAGCCCCTGATAATGTTTGTTTTCTTGGGCTAAATTTGGTCCCACAGAACTTTGCCTGTTGCTCTCAAAAGGGAAGCTCTACAGTTTGCCCTGGGCAGCAAGTAGTTGATGTTTTCACAGTGGAAGTCCAATCCTGTACTTGTCTGCTCAGAACCCTCAGTGGTTTCTCATCTCCCTTAGAAATGAGCTGGTATCCTTGAAATATTTTGTGAAATGCTTTGTACCACCCCTGTGGCCGACCCCTGCTCCTTGTCCCTGGCTCAGGATCTGGGACCTTGGGTCCCAGCATAGCCATGAGCCTATCACCCAGTAAGTTCTCTTTTCAGAACTCCACTTGAGAGAGGCCTTCCTGGGCCTCCCTGCTGGCAGTGGCTTGTCTGCCCCCATATAGGGTCCTGCCTTCCCATCACCTTGACCAGCTGACACCTGTGGCTCTGTTGATTGCCTGATTTGCCCTGTGGAAGCAGGAACTGTGCCTTGTTCAGTCATGTCCTCAGTGTGTCAGACTGTCTCTGACATGGTAAGCCCTCAGTGAGTGTCTGTTGGCTAAGTCACTTGGTGGAAGCTGTTTCTTAAAACAGGTGGATCAGTGAGGATGTTATTAACAAGGCAGCACTGTGTGTAGTCTTGATGTACTATTGACCCTGAGTAAGAGTGGGGTCTTGAGCGTTGGGGGAGGGGGTCAGGAGTGCAGGAGGGTCTGGCTCCAGGGCCTGGGGCCTCGAGTCCATTCCTGCAGATGGGCCTTGGTGTTGACTCCAGGTGGACGATCAAATTTGTCCTGTGTGCAGGTCTCCTGCTTTCGCTGCCCTCTCAGCTTCAGCTTCATGTTTTAGGGTTGTCTTTTTTTGGTGGTGGTACTGAGGATCAACCCTAGGGTTTTCTGCCACTGAGCTACACCCTACCTCTTTTGATTTTGGCTGATCTTGAACTTGTGATCTTCCTGCCTCAGCCTCCTGAATGGCTGGGATCCCAGATGTGGCCACCATGCCCAGCTTGTTTTAGGAACGTTCCAGATGCTGTGTGGACACATTTTCATCTTTTTTTCTTTCCCCTTCAGTACTGGGGATTGAACCCGAGGCCTCCCACAAGCCAGGCAAGTGATCTACCACTGAACTACATTCCCAGCTTCTGGGAAGAAATCTTTCCTTCTCTGTTATAGCTTAGCCTCCAAGGCCCATGCTATAAGTAGGCCATTTGACTCCCACTGAGGTTCCACATTTGTTCCAGTGCAGATGTCACTGTGGCAGGTGCCAGGTGCCAGGCACTGCTTTGTGCCCTGCATGGCGTGCAGCTTGTGGGAGAGCCAGCTGAGCTTCTTGGCTACTTTTTACTGGTGGAAGTACAATGACTGAGTCCCTGGCTTCGCTTGGGGAGCCTGGCCCTGCTCTGCAGTCACAGGTGGAGGGCCTTTGGGGTTGGAACCCTGGCCCGCGGTGTTTTCTTCTGGATCCAGCATCCTTGGCCTACAACTTCAGCCCTATCCCTCTCCATGGGTTCTGCTTTATTTCTCATCAATGGAAATGTTTATCTTGTTGCATTGTTATGTGGTAAAAATACAATGTGAAAATCATTGATGTTGGAATAGAAGGAAAGATCTTTGCATGCCCCACTTTGCCATCTTGGTTGTGTTCAGAAACATTTATACATAGCCAAATTGATTTTCTGGTATTGAGTTCTGAGAATTTTGGCAAGTATTGTATAATTTCATGATAATCGGGTTCAGAACCCTCCTCAGGTTGTCACTAGTAGTTTGGTTCTCCCTCTGTCTTTCGGCTACCCTTGCCTGAATGCTAAGCGAGGGTCCAGGGTTGGGGGCCTCTGGTGCCTGACTTCCTCCTTGGAGCACAGGACCTGGGCAGCATCCAGGTGTATGTGCCCAGCCACCTGTTTTCTTCTGTTGCCAAGTAGGACCCTGCCTGGTCTGATGGGACAAATGGACATTTGGATAGGACATTGGGTTGCTTCCAGCTGTTCTTTGATTCCAGTTTTTCAGTTTTTTAAAATTTTATATATACCTTTATTTTTGTGTGCTACTGAGGATTGAACTCAGTGCTGCAAGGTGTTCACACTGTGTAGAATCCACAGAGCCGCTAGAGTTCCTTTTTGCTCCCTCTCCCTGCTTGCCCTCCTGGAGCCCCCGGTTTGGTGTTTCTAGCTTTCTTTCTGTGTACATATCAGATTGTGCGTCCTTGATGAGGGCAATACCTCACAAGAGAGTGGCAATTGGTTCTGGGGAGAGGGGCAAAAAAATTTTAAGAGCTTATAGGGGCTCCAGAGGGTCTTGGCAAGTACATGGTATAACTGTGCCATTAAAATCCCATGGGAGGGCTGGGCGTGGTGGTGCACTCCTCTCATCCCAGTGGCTTGGGAGGTAGAGGCAGGTGGATCAAGGCCAACCTCAGCAACTTAGTGAGACCTTGTCTCTAAATAAAATATTTTTTTTTTAAATAGAGAGAGAGAGAGAGAGAGAGAGAGAGAGAGAGAGAGAGAGAGTGTGTGTGTGTGTGTGTGAAAGAGAGAGAGAGAGAGAGAGAGAGAGAGAGAGAGAGAGAGAGAGAATTTTAATATTTATTTTTTAGTTCTCGGCGGACACAACATCTTTGTTGGTATGTGGTGCTGAGGATCGAACCCGGGCCGCACGCATACCAGGCGAGCGCGCTACCGCTTGAGCCACATCCCCAGTCCCTCTAAATAAAATATTTTTTAAAAGGGCAGAGATGTGGCTCCGTGGTTAAACATCCTTGGGTTCAATCTTTGGTACAAAAAAAAAAATTCATGAGAGGGGGAAAAACTTTTTCTTCTTTTTTTGGCACTGGGAATTGAGCCCAGAGGTACTTTACCACGAAGCCACCACTGAGCCATATCTCTCTCCCTTTTTAAAAATTTTTTATTTTGAGACAGGATCTTGCTAAGTTGCTTAGAGCCTAACTAACTTGCTTAGGCTGGCCTTGAATTTGCAGTTGTTCTGCCTCAGCCTCCTGAGTAACTAGGCATGTACCACCTTGCCCAGCTAGGGGAAAAACTCCTAAGAACCTCCTTTAGGGGGTAGTGGGGAGAAGAGATTGAGGAAGAGCAGCTGGTAATGTGGTGGGTGTGGGATGCTGCTGGGTGTTCTGGAGCCCTCTTCAGTTTCCTCAGTCTCTCTCTGGAGCTGAGAGAATCTTCCTGGTTTGGAAGAGGGGCGATGGTCCCTCAGGTGAGGGACCTGCTGCCATCCCTGCCTGTTTTTGTAGTGCTGGGGATGGAACCCAAGACCTTGCCCATGGTAGGTAAGTGCTGTGTCACTGAGTCACACCCAGATCCYCTCGTGGTTTTAGATTTTGACCCTTGCCATTAGTTAACTTAGAAGAGACACTGGAGACCTGGGTCCGGGCTTTCCTGCTGTCCACTGCAGCACCAGCAGGTCAGTTCTTAGAGATGACAAATAGAATAGCTACGCGTGGATGTTGCGTGAACAACTCTGTACTTGTTACACAGCCTCTGGTGTTACCATCTCACACAGAAACTATTTTTCCTGTCAAGTTCTTTTTATGAGAAATTTAAAAAGACACAGAGAAGGTGCTTTGCAGCCAACTGCGCACACTGCCTGCCCTCCAGATGCTCAGAGCCCCCTCCACCCCAGGCCTCGCTGTCTCTAGCACCGCTGCTGCATGGCAGCAGGGAAGGCATCATTTGAACAGGTACAGGCATTGCTGGCATTTTGGTTGCTCCATTCTGGTGTCCATGCCAGTGCTCRGGGGAGTGTGGAGATGGCTTGCAGCTCCCTGGAGCAGAAGGCAGAGTGTTCTGTGCAGGCTTCTGAAGGATGAGGGTGTTTGTGGGGGAGGGAGAGGATTTGTGTGGCCCACCTGGGACTCCGGGG